TACCGAAATACTTACTATTTAGCGAGTTATCTTTACTCCCTATTCTAAAGAAGCTATTTACTAAGCTTATAATAGATTTTATTATAGGCCTTCCGCCTGCTAAGCGTAGAGGCAGTAAGGATGTATATAATGCTATCCTAGTTGTCGTAGACCGGTTTACTAAGGGCGCTTGTTATATTCCTGCCTAAAAGGATTAGACGGCTATTAACCTAGCTAAGTCGCTATAGAACAACATCTTCTATAGCTATTAGGGGACCCCTAAAGGGATAGTCTCCGATCGAGGCTCGATATTTATATCTTACTATTAGAGTAAGATTTGCCTATAGCTAAGACTTAAGCATCGCCTGTCTATAGCATTCTATCTATAAACAGATAGTTAGACCGAAAGGTAGAATGCTACGCTATAGCAATACTTACGAAGCTATATTAATAAGGACTCTAATAGATAGGTCGACCTCCTATAACCGGCCGAATTTATATATAATAATAGCGTACATTTATTAACTAAGGTTTCACTATATATAGCTATAATAGGCTAAAACGCCGCCTTACTACAAGATCCATTTACCTCGCTCGAGGCCGAGCGCAAGGAAAGGGAAGCGCGTTAAGCCCCTAAAACACTAGCGGCTATCGAGAGGGTTTAAAAGATGCGAGAGATTTACGCTAAGATAGCTAACAAACTAGCAAAGGCCTAGGCCTATTAGAAGGCCTATTATAACAAACACTATATACCGATAACCTTCAAGCAAGGCGATATAGTTATGCTTAGTATAAAGAACCTCCGCATCCGCAAACACCTATTACCTAATAGCAAAATACGCCCTAAACTAGCACTACGGTTTATTAGCCTATTCCGAATCCGAGAACCGAAAGGCAATAGCTAGGCCTATTAGTTATAGCTCCTACTATACTATACTATCTATAACACTTTCTATATCTCCCTCCTTAAACTATACTACTACCGCGGAGGCCCTAAAGAAGCCCCTACTAAATATAAAGAGATACTAGCCGACGGTAAAGAGCTGTAGTCTATAGAACGCATCCTAAAGCATCGGACTAGACAAGGCAAGAAGGAGTACCTCCTAAGATAGCAAGGCTATTTACCTAAATAGGACTCGTAGGAGGCTAAAGATTCCTTCAAGGATATAGCTAAGTTATTAGATAAGTATTAGACTAGTGCAAAGAACAAGAAGAAGGCTAAGGGCCTATAATGTTACTACTAAGGCCTAGGATTAATAGCACCCCCGGGGTGTTATTAGCTAACTAATTAGAGGCCGGCAAACTAGGACAATAAGACTATACTACTATAGTAAACGCGCACCGAGTACTAACAAACGCGCTATAACGCGTTAACTATTCGCTGCTCTTTTAGGAAACTACCTCTTTATTAGCGCACCCTATAAGACCCTTCTCTTAGCGCCCCCTTATTCTATCGAGATCTCGAGGCCTAGGCGGTTAGCGGGGATAGCGCGCGCGGATAGTAATAATAATAATAACGATAGCGCGGCCGGCGCGGCTATATTAGTAATAGTATTGCGGAGTATGTTACTATTTAAGAAAGGAAGGATATAGCTATATTAGTAATAGTATTGCCGAGTTGTTATTAGTTAAAGAAGGAAATTAGAAGTAAGGTAAAGTTAGCGCTAAGACGGCTAGCGCTGCTATTATTAATATTACTTACTATTGTTACTACGCCTACAAACACAACCTTACCTATACTACGAGCCTAAGGCACTAAGGGGTTGATTAAAACTTTGGTTAAAACTTTAAGCCGCCTAAAAGATTAAGCGACTAGTAGACTAACTAAGGGCAAAACTATAGAGCTAAGCTAGCCGGGGTCGATCTTGCGGATAATAGGTTACTCCTCGATCTATCTAATCCCCTAAGCGAGGCGAACCTCTACTACTATACTTATAACAGCCTTTATCTATAGAAACCAGACGAGCTGTGTTTTTTAAAAAGAGAAGATAAGATTGACACTTAAAGGCTACTAAACCTAGCTAATTAGGGCTAGCGAAACTACGACAGTAAATAATAGCCCTTATAATAACAAGAACAACCCTCGGAAGCGGACATTTCTAGGTCTTTTAAGAGTAGACGCAAAGAACTCGGTACGATATTACGTAGAGCGGAGGTAGGGCTACAATACCTCGTACGTCTACCTATTATAGTAGGGAAGACGCGCTTGTATTGTAATTAGTTAAAGGCCCTTAATTCTTATAGATATATATTACTTTATAGTTTATTATATATAGGGATAGCGTAGTTAGAAGTTAGACATTATATTAGAAGGTAAGGTTTAATATAGTTATATAATTAGGTAGTTAAGTGTTTAATTTAGCGCGGCTAAGCAGCTTATTAGACTTGCTAAGTTAGTAGTAACGGAGGTCGAGGTTAGAATATAGAAAGGCTACGAGGGCGCGGCCTTTAGAAGGGAAGCGTATATTAGAGGCTATACGTAATTAGCATATAACTAGCTCGAGTGAAGCTAGGGTCTTAGTGCCTTAGGCAGGGCTTAGCGCTTAGCGTTAGGCTAACTAGCCTGCCTTCCTCCTTCTCCTTCTAGTTCTCTATCGAATACTACCTATACCTACTACTACCCTATCTACCTACTAATATAACCCTTCTTATATCTTGTCGATACGAGCCTTAAAGTATACCTATCGTAGCGGATACTACGATTTTAGCCCGAGAAAGCACTCCTCCGAGTATATATACCTCCTTCTAAATTTGAGATAACGACGAGAACCTAGCGGCAATATAGGCTTGCCTTTGCGGTCTATACCTTCTTATACCTTCCGAAGGCTATTAGCTATACGCTCTTAATAGCTAGCAGCCCTTTTAATAATCTTATTAGTATAGCGAAGGCTCTTTATTATCTTCCTCGTAACCCTCTAATACGGCAACTACAAGCCCTCCTTTTTAGCCCCTCTAATATACTACTCGAAGTCCTTCTACGCTACTTTATCGATAAAGGATAGTATACCGGCCTATTAGAAGTAGAGCTAAGTAGGAGTAACAAATTAGTCGGTTTAGCTAAGAGTCGGATAGGTAACTAGCGTATCCTTTAGTAATAACTGTAGGTAATAGCTCTATATTGCTAAGAAGGCTATAGTTAATAGGTCGGAAGTCTATATTAGCGATAATAATAACTCTTCTTCTTAAGAAGACACTAGTAACTTAGTAACCTATTAAAATTAGCGACTTCCTATACCTATATTCTATATACCTACCTCTCGATAAAGGTCGCCTATTGTAGTATATTATTGTCTATAGAAACAGGTAGAAACTAGTACAAATTTAATACCTACTATAGGTATAATATATACCCTAGGACTGCCTAAGAACAGCCGACTAATTGCTAATTATAATTACTAGTCACTCACTCAATAATTATAATCGTAGTCACATGTGATTACAGTGACTGGTGATTATTAGTAATCAATAATCAACAAGCATGCCTGCAGTTCACATGACATGCGCGAACGCAAGCAGCCTGGTAGCGTGGTCTCGATCAAGATTTCATGTGCCACCATTCTGTCCAACACCACACCACATGCACGCTGAACTGGCTTGCCTGCAGAGCTGCCTCAGGAGCGTTGGTTTTGATTGACAGCCGGAGGAGCTTCTTGGTATGACCCCCGAGCAACGTGGTCGTGGCCTTCTGGTCCCCATCGCTCGCTGTATGCCGGAATGTGGCAGAGAGTCGAATACCGCTTGGCCGATGCCGATGCAGATGTGGCAGAAGGCAGCAGAATAGAATTCAGAGCATCGAACGACGGCGAAGGGAGCCAGCAGCCTGAGAGCCTTGAGCTGCTGCCCGGAGCAGATGAACGAGGTAAATGGTAGTCGAGTCATGCTCGCTGACTCCATCGGAAATATTCAAATATTCCCTGGCACACAGAATGCATGGCTTGGTTGCGGCGAAGTAGGCCCGGAAGCACTTGTCCGCCCCTGGGCCGGAGTCTGTATACTTGAAAAAGATACATTGAATCCGCTCGCTTCCTCGCAAAGCAGATTTTGCCGACTGCATGCGAGCCATCAGCAAAAATGCGCGCGCTGTTCCCACTGGAAGACAATCGAAGATACCCAAGCTTTGCCAGTGCGAAGCCAAGTCATAGTTCTAACGGATCTGCTATCGATCAGGGTCCACGTATTCCCCAGTAGCTCACATGTCGGATCGGCGTATGGTGTATTTCTCAACATGGGTTTCAGCATGGTCAAGCGGCGGGCCTTGGCAACGGCTGTGGGCTTCTTTGAATACCGCATCAATTGGCATGTGGGGAACGTCTTGCAGATTTGCAAGAGCAGTGAACACTGAACACGCTGTACAAAACGGGGTCATGTCCTATGTGGAAAGGGTAGCGCAACCCAAAACCAACGACACCTGAACAGCAAGCTCAGACTCATTGCGTCCGGGCCGTCGAAGCGCCGCTTGAGCCACACCTACTAGCTCTTATTGTTACATGGAATGTCGACGTCGCTACAAGCATGTCATTAAGAGCTTGCGTATTATGTGCTGGAACCATGCTTGCAGTTTGAGATCTCAATCTCGAATAACGCACATGTCCCATTCGAACAATTCGTTTCTGCGAAGATCACGTATCCGTCTTTGGCTGGATGCTAGAATTTTGGTCTCGATCGTGGACTAATCCAGAGCCTTCAGAATGCTCGCGGTGCCGTTCCGTATTTCATGGCATGCTCGCTAGCGAGAACATCCGGCTTGTGTAAGCGGCAAGTGTCTTATATGTCGTGTCAGTGGAACCATATTGGATCCATCCCAAACGGCGCCTACTACTCGGCGTCCTCGCATGTGCAACAGGGTTCTCCGCATGGTCAGCATCTAAGCCATCTAAGCATAGGTCTAAGCTCCGGTTGGTTGTATATGGCTTGTATGTAAAAGATAAAGATATGCATTGGACACTCTGCTCTGCGTTCCGTTGATTGACCGTACTCGACATCTTGCTTGCCAACTTCAAGTTCCTCTTCGATCTTCTACCATGGATCAAAAAGCAGTATCAGAGAACAACAGTGGAGGCTCAGGTATGTTAGTTACTATCGCACGCGAGAATCCCACTTCATGTTCTTCCAAAGATCACTAAGAATCTCCAGATCACACCCCAACGCCCCAAGAAAAAGACTCAGGCGAAGTAGACCGCGTCGAACAACTCCACACCAACGAGCGTGTCCCTGGCCATGAAAACTACTACCAGAAAAATGGTCTCCGCACCTACGGAGACGGAGCAGACCACGACCACGAAAGTCCCATGACCTTCAGAAGAATGATGTCTCTCATCGCCATGGCTTTCCTCTGGACAGGCTCCCAGATTCCCGTCTACCTCTTCGGAGGCGTGCCGCCGTATATCTATCGAGACATCGGCGGCCTGGATCGTTGGGTGTGGTTTGTCCTTGCGAATTTGCTTTCACTTGCAGCGATTTGTCCATTTGTTGGAAGTATTAGTGATTTGATTGGGCGACGCTATGTTGCTATTATTGGTGCTAGTCTCTTGGTGATCGCCATGATGTGAGTATGAACGACGGGGGGGAGAGCAGTCGATGGTTGTGGGCTGACGGTCTTCTTCCAGCATCTGCTCGACGGCACAGACGATGAATACGTTCATTTGCGGAATGGTATTTGCTGGAGTTGGAGCGGGAATCAACGAGCTGACTGCCCTCGCCGCCACGTCGGAGCTCGCGCCGACTGCGAAGCGTGGGAAGTATGTTGCTGTGCTGATCTTTACCATTCTGCCGTTCGTAAGTTGCTATCCCTCCGAAACCAGCTCCTGGATAGACAAGGCTAATGGACTAAGCTTCCTTCTGTGCTGTATGCACAACTCATCGCCTATTACTCATCATGGCGGTGGATCGGCCTGATCTGTGGTCTCTGGGCACTCATTGGCTTGGTTATAGTGGTGTTCTTCTACTTCCCGCCGCCGCGAGTCAACTCACAGGGAATGTCAAAGAAGGAAGTGCTGCGGCAAATAGATTATATTGGTCAGTACTTCTGGCGTTGTTCAAAGCAAGTTGCTGACTGTCGGCGATACAGGTGGCATATTGTCCGTTGGAGGAATGTTGCTCTTCATGATGGGAATGGTAAGTCATGTCCTGGACGTTACTGCAGCGTGCTAATGCTAAACACAATAGCAATGGGGTGGCTACCAATATGATTGGGACAGCACTCACGTCCTCGTACCATTGATTCTGGGGACTGTCATGATCGTCGCCTTCGTGGTCTGGGAGAGATACGCGCCGTACCCAATGTTTCCTCGGAGGCTTCGTCAGGATCCACGCATTTTGGCATTGACTTTGGTCATCACTTTCATCTCTGGATCCAACTTCTTTTCCATTCTTATGTTCTGGCCAACGCAGGCATTCAATGTCTACGGACATGACCCAGTCGGCGTCGGTAAGTTCGCAGAGGCGGGAGTTATTGAAGATAGCCTGTTGCTGATAGCCTTACTCTTCGTACGTAGGCGTTCGAGGTCTTCCTGTGAGTTTCGGCATCCTTGGCGGAGCCGTAATCGTTCTCTGGCTCCTTTCAGTCTTCCGCGGCCACAACAAGGAGCTCATGATCGTATCATCAGTCTTGATGACGGCGGGATGTGGTTCACTCTCAGTTGCGACAGTGGACAACCTGTCTACAATCTGGGGCCTGCTGTTCCTCGCAGGCTTAGGAATCGGAGGCATTGTAGTGCCCGCGTCCATCATCAGTAAGTCCGATCACCAGAAACCACAAGCCTGTCTGAACTGACATTCTTCGCAGCAACAATCATTTGTCCCGACGACCTCATTGCGACCGTTGCTGCTTTGACATTGTCAATCCGAGTCCTCGGCGGCAGCATAGGGTACACTGTTTATTACAACGTCTTCGTGCACAAGTTCGTGCCAAAGGCGGCGCACTATATTGGCGGCTATCTGGTGACCGAACTCAACATCACCAGCGAGGCTGTGATCACCGAGGTTATTCAACTAACAGGTGTATCGCTCATTGATGAGATCGCCAATGTCCCAGGCATAGCAGGAGTGCCAGGCGCGTGGGAGGCGGTGGTGCGCGCAGGACAGGTAAGTTTTGCAGTCCTATGGCTACTTTGAGGGCTTTACTGATCATGGCTGTCTGGGCGAAGGTCGCATTCGCCGAATCTTACGTATATGTGTATTACGTCTCCATCGCTTTTGGGTCCATAAGCATTCTCGCGGCATGCTTCCTCGGAGACATCTCGAAGTATATGGACGATCACATTGCTGTAATCATGTAAGCTGGCGTCAGGCGAAGAGGTGCCGTGACGCAAAGTGAGCGGAAGCTGCTCCATCGAATACTTTTCGAAGTACAGGGAATGAGATGGTCCGCATTGCCATCTCGCTGTGAACGCACGACTTTGGTGGCGGGAAACAGCTGAAATGTACTGTATATCAAGCGTCAGTTACGATTCGTCGACCAGAGTCATACCGTGTATACCAGTCGTTATCTTTGCTGAGCTGTCATTGCTCCTTTGTGCTCTCGAAGGAGTTGCACTTATCCCATCGCCGTTCGTGGCCTGAATTGCGCAATTGTGTCTCGTCGCCTGAATTGAGAAGGTGGAGCTCCAGTACCAGTCGCACAAGCACACGAGATCTCTTGTTAGGTAGTGAAGAGCGTCTTGCGAGGATTGAGCTTACGGATGCCAACTGTTGCCATGACCAGTAATACAAGTCGGAGAACCGAGTACGTACAATCGACAGGACCCGGTATCTTCATACGTTTTTGATATTTTTGCAATCTATCATGTATCGTCCCATCGTCACTCATAATAAATAAAGTGTGCTCCAGATCTGATCATTTGCATCTTATCATGCAGTCTGCGCATAATCAGAAGTCAAGCGTGACGAATTTAGGACCCAGATCGCACATTTGAAGCACCGATATTCTCTCGATCGTGTCAAGACGGCCGCACACTCTTCTCGTGCAGTGCCCAGAGTCTTTGGCATGGTACCTCCAATGTGGCTGGCAAAGTAGCAGCAGGGAAGGAGAGCACGCCGCCAAGCCGGCAGGTCGCTGGAGACCGCCTGATCGGAGTCCGCCCTCGGGAAGATTGCAGTGGCATTCTGTTGAGACGCAAAGATCCCAGAGACGTTTCACTTCTTGATGATCGTAATGATGTCCTCGTCAGCAAGTTCGTGAGATAGACCTACGCGTTGCGGTTGGTGCTTGACGCTGCGGCCGTACACGATCGCGATCTTGAACTGGTCCACAATAGTCTTGTGGATAGCGTTACAAAATGCTTCGACTGTGCAATTTGTGCTCCGCAAGACTACTGGCGCCGTGTAGTCCGGTAACTTGCCTTTAGGCTTAGTGTAGACTCGCCGTAGATTGAGTTTCTCCCACATCTGCTCCAGCAGTTCATCAACGTTCCAGCCGTGTTCCGCAGAGATTGGGCAAGCATTGGGAATACGATACAGGAGGTCCAGTTCTTCGATACTGATCGCGTCGATCTTGTTGAGTGCATAGATGACTGGGATGTAAGCACGTCCCTTGGCCTCGATAACATCAATGAGGTCGTCCACTGTGGCATCACAACGGATGGCCACATCGCAGTTTGCCATTCGATATTCGTTCATAACAGCCTTGATCTCGTCGTTGTCGATATGTGTCAGAGGTCCTGTTGATGTAATCGATATGCCACCCTTGTCCTTCTTCGTGATTTTGATGTTCGGAGGCTGCTTGTTGATCCTGATTCCGAAGCCCTCGAGTTCGTTCTCGATAACGCGCTTGTCTGTGAGCGGCTTGTTCACGTCAAGCACGATGAAGATGAGATGGCATGTCTTGGCCACAGCGATGACCTGTCTTCCTCTACCCTTTCCATCCTTGGCACCTTGAATGATACCTGGCAGATCTAGCATCTGGATCTTCGCACCATTGTAGACCACTTGCCCGGGAACCGTTGTCAAAGTCGTGAATTCGTACGCAGCAGCTTCCGAGTGCTGTCCAGTAAGTCTACTCATCAAGGTTGATTTGCCGACGGAGGGAAATCCTATGAAGCCTACAGAGGCTACACCTGTGCGGGCAACATCGAATCCAGCACCGCCACTGCCACCACCTCCTCCCGATGGTTCTAACAGCTCTTTCTTCAGCTTAGCAAGCTTAGCCTTAAGCTGTCCCAAGTGAAACGATGTGGCCTTGTTCTTCTGGGTTTTCGCCATCTCTTCTTCGATGCTGTCAAGCTGTCAGTGTCTCCTCACTTCGCCGCGAACACAACTCCGCATACGCTTTGATCTTGTCCACTGTAGTCGCCATGATGTATGATAGGCGGACGCGAGCCCGTGATCGACTTGTATGTACGTGCGCCTTCGTTGGCTGTTGTGTGCGCGATCTATAGAGGGGTGCTACAGTGGTGGATTCGAAGATTTGCAGAGGTTCAAGTCACGTGCAATCGGCTCGTCGGATGCACTCGCGCAGCAATCTTTGGCTCTCGCTGTCGCTATCAGTACCTAATTAATAGTATGCGCAAGCAGACAAGGTTTGGCAAGCAGGCCGGACTATCGCTACATGATCTATCCTGTATACGCAATCACGACCGTGCAGAAGCGGTTGGGTATGCGTGTGACAGCAGCTCTCCATGGCAGCAGCCAACCAAGCTACGGTGAGACGGTGATCGGTTACAAGCGGGAGAGTATCGGTGGTCATGACTGCAAGCGCAAACGAGTGTATGTATGTGTCGAGCTTGACGCTTGACGCGCAGCTCAGCTCAGCTGTTTTAGACTGGTGTTTGCCAGGAATTGTCTCGTATCTACCCTCTGCCTTTCAACATCTCACCACCCGCAAACATCCTTACCTTGATGCCCTTTTAGTCCAGTCACTGCGACCACTGGGAACCTTTCTGTCTCCCGATCATCTCCATCATCGTTGTCCTTCCATTACATCGCCGACCGCCTGTCTACATCTTGCTTGGGGACAACATGGCAGCAAAGACACAGCGATATTCCAGCGATGCGGGGTCCGACGCGCCGGCATCGCTGCATGATTCTGCTCGTGGCTCACCAGAGCCCCATACCACTACTCTTGACAGCTTCCATAGCCTCGTGCAGGATATCAACGCAGTCTTGGGTCCATGCAACGGTATCGATAGCGCAGATGTCGATGTCGAGGAACTCAAGAGTCTTATGGCGGGCTATGACTCCGTGGAAGCGGAATGGACCAGATACGCCTTCGGGGACAGCAGTCGGGCGTACACTCGAAATCTGGTCGACGATTGCAACGGGAAGAGCAACTTGGTAAGTGGACAAGACGTGAAGTGCCCGCATATACAAGAGCTGCCGCCTTTGGCCAGAGTAACCACTTTCGTCGATCTCATCAATCACGCAATTGCACGTGATTCGGAGGCCGCCAAGACAAGGCAAGGCAACAAGGCATTTCTGATGAAGGGCTCCCGTGCTCCTTGCTCCGTGCTCCGCGTTTTCTCGCTCTCGACACACAACAAGCCTATCCTCGTTGTCGTGGAATTGGGAAGCCACGCGACAGTGGCAAAATTACCTAGTACAGCCTGGCCAGCCCGAAACTCCTTCGCTGACCTATGAATTGCAGTTGATTCTGGTGTGGTCCGCCGGATCGCACTCCCCCATCCACGACCATGCCAATGCCCACTGTGTCATGAAGATATTGCAGGGCCGCCTCACCGAGACTATCTATGGATGGCCCTGCGAGGGCGTCGATGGACCAGGAGACTGTGCAACGACATCGGATCCATCTCATCCGAGCACCGAGCATACCTGCTCGAGCGTCAAGATGGGTCCTCAAGAACTGAGAGTCAGGAAAGAAACGACGTATGCAACGAATCAAGTGACATACATGTCGGATCGACTTGGACTGCATCGTGTTGCGAACCCTGACAAGGAGAACATTGCGGTCAGCTTACACTTGTACACGGTAAGTGGTTCCATGGAAATTGGCGCGCGCGTTCGTGAGATCGTCACGTATGTACAGCGTCTTACCACATCGGAGTGAAAGTGACTAGGGTCGGACCGCTGAATAACAAGTTTCTGTTCGCTATAATCCATGAGGAGCAAGGGTTTGGGGAATACCCACTTTCACTCCGATGTGATCAGACGCTGTAGTATCCAGAGCTGCATGCGCACTTGCATTAAGATAGTTCATCAGCCTTAACGGATGTCTGCACAACCCGGATCTTTGACGCCCCCTCTATGGGCATATAGGAGTTCGACGCTGACTGTCTTGCAGCCACCAAATGCAGCAAAGCATGGTTGTCACATCTTCGATCCCAAGACTGGCAAGAAGCGCCAAGTATCGCAATGTCACTTCTTTTCTGAGTTCGGAAAGCTTTGTCAGTGAAGTCAAATGGACACCTCGGTGCCCTATAAGCATGACTTGGACCTTCCCTTCGTTACGTTTGGGCCTTGGTTGTGGGGTTCTTCACAGGTTGAGGTGTTTCATATTGTTTAGGGAATGTTGTCAGGTTTTTGTATCACAGACTGTCATGATGGCAATGTCAAAATTTTCGTGTCGAGATCGAGGGTTCGGCGTCCATCATTTTGTCACTTTTGAGTCAATCGCCGACATTCTTGCTCTCAACTGCACAACCCATAAGGTCAAGCTCAGAGTTTGAAACATTATGACAACCAGCACGCGCGAGCGTTACTTCGCTGTGTCGGTCATCAGAGTGCTCATGTCGTCGGTGGCCCGTCCGGATAGAAACGCCAAAACCGTATGGCGACCTGGATCATCCACTGCCCACGCAGCGTGTACATAGTACATGTATTGCTCCAAGCGTTTGGTGCAGAGCACACGGCTGACGTGGTTCCTGACTGCCGATAGCTGCCGAAAATTACCCTTCCATCATGCCGCATTAATACCTATTCACCAAACACCGCGCATTACGCAACATGCACTTGCAGTTCTGTATTGCAGGACCCTGAGCCTGGATAATAAACGTTGCGCGACCGACAGGATCTCAGTAAGCTGGGGCTGTTTCGCGCAAAGTGGCAGAACGTGCATGCAGAATGAGCCTGCGGGCCCGGCTGCTTCGACTTGACAAGTAACGTCGTGTCACATGGCCAATCTCTTCCTCATTATTATTTTCGTTCGGGTCGAATATTCTGGACCTGCTTTTCACAACCCGCTAGCAAGTGCTGCGTGACTCGTGGCAGAAAGGAAAGCGAAAATCCGCTGTTCGAGGGTCTTCTCATGCGGACCTGGTTCGGAGGTGTTCTGCACGAACAGGGTTGATGCAAGCTTCTGAGGCAGGTACAGGATTTTAACTTGCAACACCGTGACGATGCCCTCTGTGGTTTTTGTTGCACCACGATCTTTGATGAGCATTGTAGTTTTATTACCGTCATATTCCTCGTCCAAGTACAACAACCTACATACCTGTTCGACACAACGAGTCAACCAGAAAAATTGAGACCCATGCAGTGCGACGACAATGGCAAGATTGGTGTTTGGGATCTTGCGGCAGTGTAACACTTCGATTGCATGCGTTTGCTTCAGAAATAGAGCCTGGAGGAGGGCAAAGTGTAACTTATGCTTCTTCTTTGCATCGTCATGATGGAAGCAATTGGAGCCTGTGCGTGGCGGAACACGGTCTCCGTAGGTCATGGCGTGTTAAACCTTGAGTGTATCTGAAATGCAACAACAACATTAGCCATGGAGTCCAAAGGTTCGAGTTGGTGAAGACATGGAAATGCAACGCTCGATCGAAAGTTGGGCGCAATGTCTCCAGTGCTGTCCTGATGACATCAATGTTCGCACCTCGATCGTTCATCATCGCAAACGTTCGATGGAGTCCTGGTCGAGTGTCTGGCGGTGTAGCACAGGATCCATGATGGATGCTGCTTGAAGAGTACTAACCAATTGCACTGTGCGACGAGTCGCGGGGTTGTGCTTTGTTTCAACGAATGACGGGAAACATTTGAAGTCTTCTGCGGAAATGGACTAGGCCCCAAGTTCCGGCGAGGATACGGGTAATGTAGGCTTCGCATGTCCTTGAATGGATGATGTATGGAATTCCACAAAAGGATCCAAAGCCTGTCATGGCCAGTCTTCCTATTGCTCAACCGTGCGTGGACGAATGCGGCAAGTCATTGATTGATGAGGCTGGCGGTCGCTCGGAGAATAATGGATCCCACTCGGCCCATTCCAAGCAAAGTCATGGGAAGCTTGCACCCTTGCAACTTGCACCCTTGCAAGCGTGGTCTTCACTGTCGAATGGCAATGTGGAGCGGGCTCATGAGGCCTGCGAATCGCGCCTTGCCGTATGATTGGCAAGGAGCATGGTAAATCTCCCCAGATCCCAACAGCTTACACGAAGAAGCAGAGCAGAGCAGAGTAGTAGTGTATGTAGTGGATTTACTCGAGTATCAACTTTTTAAGGTTGGCCGAAGAAGGAAATCGAGAGACTAGGCCAGTAGGCCAACGAGAGGTGTTAAGATAGCTGTCGATGTCGACCATGCACACATCGCTCACCTGCTCTCAAGTGCGGGTCTAGATTTGACGGGCCAGGCTGATTCCGTGGGCGGCGTTCAGAGACACTTGGCTTTCTCACGAACCGAGACAAAGTTGCGTGGCATCCATCACTTTTCTCGGACATTTCATCACTTCTCGTCAATTGCACGCGATGGATTCCAGCAGGTCCGACGTCCGGGAACACAAGTCGAAGTCCAAATAACGTTTTCCTTGTGGTTTCAGTCTATTCGAAACCGACAGGTACCAAGGCAGCGCCGCCGGCCATGCAGGGAGTGTACTGTACATGTACAGCGCGACGTCCTGGTTCTGCCGGAAGAGGGCGAAAAGTAGTGCGCAGGGCCAGGGCAGACATGCAGCAGCAGGGAAGCGTTGAGGGTCGTGGTAGATTGTGGAGGCGAGCGGGAGTGAAGGGCGGAGTGCGGCGTCGGGATTGGATGCTCCAGTGCAGAATGCGCGCAAAACGACCAATCAGTACACATGGAGCCTCTCCTCTTTTTCGAGCTCGCAATCTTACTCGCACGCAGCGCGGCTTTTGCTTTGCTCGTGGGCGCTAAGCTTCAGATGTCTGGCAGACGGCGACGATGCGAAGGGAAAAGGGCGCGAGGCGTGTCTCGGACAGGGACGATCAATTTCCAAGGTTTGGAAGATCGAGGTAGGGCCATTTGTCAAATCAGGGCCAGAAAGGGCAGGGTGCGTGTGCGTGTGCGGGTGCGGGTGCGGGTGCGGGTGCGGGTGCGGGTGCGAATGGACAGCGCAAATACAGGACAGCAGATGCGCTATTGACGGCCAGCTGCTATTCTATTCGCGGTGTTGCTCGCTCGGACATGGTGATGCTGCTATTTGCATCGTGGATTATATATAATTATGACGGGGCAGGAACAGCAGCGCGCAGTGCAGTGCAGTGCCGTGCCGTGACGATGTCGCCGATGGGCGAGCAATAGAGAGGCAGAAGATGCTTCCCGAGGCTGCCATTGGGAGTATAGTGCAGGGGCGAGGCCAATGGAAGGGATCTGGGATCTGCTAGTGGAAGCGTTGTGCAGCGGCTCCCTCGCCAGCACCTCTGATTTGCCCCCGGCAGCCTTGTCTTACGCTCCACAAGGCCATCCGTCTGCGACCGCCATCCGCCATCTGTGCGCGCAGCAGGCCGACGTGCGGCAGGCGGGCTTTTGTGCGAGCCGGCCACGAGACTCGTTGCTGCGGTGCTGTGTGCTGTGTGCTGTGCTGTTTCGCGCGTTGTATCGCATCATCGCTGGGCGGGCGATGCAGCGCCGCATCCTAATCGCCGCCAGAGCAGGCACACCGTCACCGTCACCGTCACCGTCACGGCCCTGGCCCTGGCACTGGCACTGGACGGGCACTACTGACTGCTGGCACTACTGATGATTGCTACTGCCACTACTGATGATTGCTCCTGCCACGCCGCGCGCAAGCACGCACGCAGCACGCGTGAGTTCGGTCCCGCGATGGCGCTCCCGCCTGGAACGATCCTCTGCCTCGACTGTCCCACGCCTTCCCTCCCGCAACCCGCAGCCCGCAGCGCTCCTCGGCGGAGCGCTATGGGCGCTGGCGATCGGGCGACGCAGGGATGCGCATCAGGCAGTGCCACCCATGTCCTGTCCTGCCAACTTGTACACTTCGTCCCGAACCGCCATCCGTGCTAACGTGAACCTAGACATCCATTCTCCACGCCGCCGCTGCTCGACTTGAGATCTCCCTCGTCTCGTCTCGTCTCGTCTCGTCTCGTCTCCTGTAACTCGCGGCTGCCTGCCAGTTGCATATATCGGACCATGCTTGCCGCCTAGCACCAGCACCAGCACCCGCAGCACCAGCAGCACTATGCCCCTTGATGCCCTACTGCGCTCTTGCTCTGGCTCGCATGCTGGTCCGCCTGAACAATCCGAGACAACTGACTGCACGCCCCGTTCTGCCGCCGTAAGCTTAAGCCACAGGCGTGTAAACGCTGCGGCACTTGCGCGCGAACACTACTGCCACTCTGCCACCCTACCGCCTCGCACTGTCTCGTCGACCTTGGGAGAGAGTGCCAACCCATCCGGCTGCCTTGCCTGAGGCGGCGCTGCATGCTCGTCGATGCTATGGCCGATGACGACCGCAACACTGCATATCGCTCGTCGCCCTCGACTCACTGGAACCACTTCCCGCATCACCCTCACTCGCATCACGGCACGCCGGCCCAGGAATACACCGGATTCAACTTCACCTCACCCCAGCTGCCTATGGAGCCCAGCGCGTTCAGTAGCAGCATCCATTCACGACCGATGCATCACCAACTCCAGCCCTTGATAATGCCGCAATGGCCATCGCTGCTCAACAGCCAGCCACATTCGACCTACCAACCCATGTATCCTCAACCAGTTCAACCCATCCAGCCAATGTCCATTGGACCTCTCGTGACGCCCGTGTCGGCCGCGCCCTCGAGATCAACATCGACCCCGCGCAAGACTCTCACAGACCTGGATCGCAAACGAATGTGCCAATATGCAGAGGAGCATCCCAACAGCAAGCAGACCGAGATTGGAGGTATGTGGTGACAGCCTTTGGACCGGAGTATTAACTGACGCGTGTGTAGCCATCTTCGGTGTAGAACGAAGGTAGCGAGATCGTTTTTGTTTGAAGCAGACCGTTGTTGACAATCACTCCAGCACTGTATCGAAGGTCCTTCGGCAGAAGGAGAAGTACCTCTTCCAAGACGACGGCAGTCGATCGCCTGTCAAGCGCGCGAAGGGTCGCTCTCCTGATATCGAGCGCGCGCTTGCAGTATGGGCCAAGAATCAGGTATGGTGGAGTCCGCGGCGACATTCATCATTGCCGTTCTGACTGACCGTGTCGAATAGGAGAAGAAGGGGAATCCGCTCACTGATCATCTCATTCGACAGCAGGCGCGAGCTTTCGCGGCAACCACGACCATGGCTGAAAACCACGTGGCTCTGAGCTCGAGCTGGATCGAGAAGTTCAAGCTCAAGAACAACCTGATGGGTGCTCGATCACGAAAAGCGTCACTCGCTCCGGACGATCTGGATGGTTCAGCAGCACAATCATCCTCTTCCCACACTCCTGGCGACACTTCGCCCATTTCCCCGGGCGCACTGGGATCTCCATCTCCCATCGAATTGCATAGTGTGCAGAGCCAAGAAAGCTTGAAGAACGAGAGTCCCGACAGCTATCTGGAATTTGGCAGTACACATGGACCATTTCATTCGCAGAGCACGAATTCGCTGAACAGCGCCTTCACCGACACGGCGCCATCGTCTTTCTCCCCTGGACCCCTGAGTCCGACATCACCATTCTTCACAACGCCTGAATCGGGTACCGCTCCTTCTCCATTCATACCCCAAAACTCGCGGCCGATTCTCCCAAGCACATCGAGCACCAACTCGCAGCGGCCACGCAGCCAGACGTTTCCGTTTCTGGATCAATACATGACAGGTTCTGGCGAGTCTGTGACGCCCAAATACGCGAACAGCGCAGCATTGGACTCACCGATGGGAGAACCTTCGGACCCGCTTGTCAATCTTGATGAGGCTATACAGCCACCAGAAGAACGGCCGAGCACGGTCACACCTTCAGAGACGATGCGGCCACCTCCTCTGCCGGCACATATCTTGCAATCAGATATCCTAAAGCGAGATTCTACGCCGGCCACACCAACATACTCGTTCCAGCAGGCAACGACTCCAGAAGAAGCACGACAAGCACTCCAAATAGTGCTTTCCTTCTTCGAACAACAACCCAACGGCTCATTAGATCCGGCGTCTTGGATGGCCATGGGCAAACTTATGGAAAAATTGAAGCTGCAGTCCCGAGGGAGCAGCTGACGACACGAGAGATACCCCTATCATTTTCGCTTCTTTTGATTCGGCATGTCATTTTTTTGTATAGTCGGAATTTGAGCAAGTCGCTTTTTTTTCGGCCATGTGCATACATGTACTTGCATTGCGCGCGTCATAACTGCTTTTGGAGGATACGCAACCGAGTTTTTGAGATTGTGAACTCAGGGCAGGACCGTGTGGGAACAGGACGTCAAAGGGAGATGTTTTTTTTTTCAAGACGGCTAGTCCGCTCACGCGGCATCACATGGGGAAAGAAGTTTTTTCGGATCATTGTTGTACTCAAATCCTGCTACAGTACCTGGAAGGCGGCTGCAATTGTTATGAACCACCAATGCGGCAGCGAAGCTGAACAAAAACCCACTGATCATTATTCATCGACGAGAAGCTCTTTCTTTTTGTCTATGATTCAAGCTATCCTAATCGATCTACAGCGTCCCCACCTTCGACAGGTTTCAGTTCGGGAAAGAGGCGGACCACGAGGAGCTCGATGACGGAGACGATCAAGTGCTTGTTGATGTACGCATCAGCGAGCAGATCTAGCTCGGTCGCAACATCGTCTCTCATCAGATCTCGGTCTTTGGTCGCAAAGAAGGATGCGCGAACGACTTCGGGTGTCGTGTCGACGATAGTCTCGGCGCATTCGCGTCGAATGTCGGCGATCTCGTCGCTTGTCGGTGGTCTGCGTGCTGGGGCCAGGGCGTTATCGGGAAAGACGGCGACTCGGGCGGCCCGCAAGACGGACGGCAGCCAGCTCGCACGGAGCAGTCTTCGTTGGATCGTGAACGACATGAGCCTGCAGATGAAATGCTGTCAGAACACTGCAATGCGCAAGCTCGTGGCTTTCTGTGTTAGGCAGGACAGCCAAATTGCATGCATATGCACAGCTTCGAGCCGGCAGGGAGTTTGGAAAGGAATTGCGTCGGACCAGGGTCGGCTCGCAATGCTGGCCTGGTCCCGGCATCGCGTCCTCTGGATCAGCGAATGAAATGGTGAAAGAGCTGTGTCGTGATGTGAGTGGTGGACACTTCACCGCCCGCCACATGTCTATTCGTAAGCTCCATCGCGAGATCCTGACCAGGCCAAGGCCTGCGTCATTGAAATTGTATTATTGGCGTTGAGGTTTGGGCCACAAGCGCAGCAGTCCACACTCCACACTCCACAGGCCGGAGTGCAAGCAGGGCCCGCTTGAGGGCCGAACCCTTTGCTGGCTGCATCCGGATGCCGAGAGCTTGACAGGTGAACATCAAAGGGGCGCCAACACCTGTCATGCTGCCCCGCTTGTTGGCTGAACATATGCGAACGTGCCCAATATACTGCCATACTGCGTAATGACATCGGAGACATGATCCAGTTGTAGTAGCAGCGGCGAAGTGGTTGGTGACATGGCTCTCCAACATCCAAATGCGCATTCGGCATTTTGCGGGCTGTAAGCGTCCCAAGCGACATGCACAAGAGGACGGGATCCAGAGACGGCCCTCTGGTCGCTAGCGGACCGAAGCATGACATTGGCAGACGCAGGAATCAGATGACCGTAAATTGATGCAGGCTGCCGATGTGGCTTACTCTGGCGTGTCCACATCGGCGAATGGGGCGCAAGAATCCAGAGGGATGCAATTCTTAGAATCGGACATTGTCCTGCCCAACAACGGAACGATGGTGTTCATGGCCTCGGTTGCATCGAAGATGAATGTGGAGAAATGAAGGAGCTGTTCACTCACCTGTCCAATCTGCTGTTGGTGCAGCACAGCTGCCCTCGTCCCCACAAGGCCATCCACTGCAGCAGTGACAGCATACCTGTCAGCCAAGGCATGCGCCGGTCGAGAGACAGTAGCTGTGACATGCATCCCCAGACACTCATGCCAATGATAGGTTGCTGGTGCAGAAGCCCATGGCCAGCCGGCGAATCGAAGGCGGAGCTGCGAGACATTCTGCGTGCTCTTTCCAATGACTGCTTTGTGGGGCGGCTTCTTCGTGGCGGTATGGAAGATGCTTGCATCAAGGCGTTCAGGAAGGAACGAAGTAACATCCAGCCTGTTATCATGGATTGCATTATGAGCCAAAACGTCCGAGAAACTGCATCCAAGCGCCCACGCGAATGCAGACGGTCACTAGCGCGTGCGCGACTGGCAGACCGTACACCCAATGCTTGATTCGGTGAGCCGGAGGCATCTCGCGATATGTTCATGCTCTCGCTAGTGGAGAAAGGTCGTACAACCTTGGTGATTCCTTCCCAGAGCAACCATGGCTCACAAGCCTTACCACAAAGGCCATGATGGAAGATAAGCTCGGAGAAGAGTTCTGACACCAGAACTTCCAAACAAGGGTTCTGCAAGTCTTCCGGGGGAAGCAGTAGAGGCAGAATTCGATTGACCAGAAGCAGACACCAAGCGACCTCGTTTTCTTGCTGTAATGATGATGTGGACGCATTCGATGGCACGGGCTCCAACGCCATGTGAGGGCGGAGTGCGTGATATCTCAGCCGTCTTTGTTCGATAGTAAGCCCCATTACTCGAGATGTTTGGGACATCCTCACCGCTAAGAGTCGTCAGCGTGCTGTATGCAGGCAGTCTGCCATGGCAATCTTACTTACCATTGACATGTTCGGTTAGCAAATCAGGCAATTCATCCAGAACCAGGCTTTCCAGATCCACATTTCGGAGGCGCCCTTCAAGACCCCGCGTGCAATGTGCAATGATCTGGACAATTTCGCCTACGAATTGATGATCTGGGGTGATGCGTTGATACCATGATTGGACCGCAAAGCTGAGTATCACAGCAATGAATGCATAGAGTTCAACATCCACAGCATTGGAACTCGTTAGTGGTGGCAGAAGCTCCTCGAGGTCCTTGGAGGCTAAGTCCGTATCCGAGCCTTGAGTGGACGTTGCCTCCCGTGGCCCCTGACAGAGCACACGCTTGATGTATGCAATGGTGGCTGCGTCGTCTCGAGCTGCGTCTGGATGTTGTCGCGGCAGCACCGTGTCCTTGGTGTCTGATGGTTTGTTGGAGCTAGACGCGCGATATTGCTTTGTCGGCCGTGGAGCTCCCTGGGCCATGATTCGAGGAGCATACAGTATGTAGAGTCTAGGCGCGAGCGCTATACTATAGGTGCAGCATGTTGTCGGACGCGAGTTAATGTGAAGGATGTGGAAGTTCGTCGTCACGAAAGAAGAAGTGCTCGTGAAGTGCCCGAATTGAAGGTTCTCAAGTCTCGGAAGCTCGGAAGCTCGGCACCTGCGCCGAGGTCGCGAGAGTCTGTGCTTGCAGTCGCAGCACGCAACTTCGCACATCAACCGCAACGTCACACGAGAAGTTGGTCGTTCTTGAGCCGATAGCGTCACAATGGCGGCCACCACTCTAGATGAGGTGGACGGTGAGCTTTGTGGACAGACATTCATGCATGCCCTCGCTGACAACCAGCAGCACAGCTGAAGGAGATCATCAGTAACCTGTTCCACTTGATTGCACAGGCTTACGACTATCAAGGCCAAGGCACGCAGCAGGCAATGCACACCGAGATGTAATTATTCCGCATCAAACACACTACGAGAGCTCATCCTGAAATTCTACAGACGCACGCTTTTGCAGAATCTTCAGTCCATCAGCCAAAGCGCACGGCGCTTGCCAACACACATTCCAATCGAGATTATCGAGTACGTGGAGAAGTCGCGTAATCCGGACATCTACACGCGCGAGTTTGTCGAGCTGGTCATGAAGTACAATCAGCAGCAGAAAGGTCGAAGCCAAGCATTTGCCCAGTTTCGTGACATTCTGGCTGAGAGAATGTTGAGCGGCATCACCGATCCCGAGTTTCAAGATGAAGTGAGAACAGTCGCTCGCGCGTCAGGAAGCCAGATCTAGCCATCGTGGTCCTCATCATGATACTTGGAATCACACATTATCTGCATCGGCACACCCTCGAAACTCAAATGCGACACATAGAGCGCGGGTGTCAACCAGTGAGCATCGAGCATTATAGCAATGATTGGAGCGCTATATTTCTTCACGCGACAACTCACTAGGAACCCTTGGAACGGAGTTTTGAAGATTGCCAAGACCTCAGACACTCCAGCATTGCCCACAATTGGAACGGAGAAATCGACCGAGAGGCTCTGAGAACCTGTCATTGACGCACGACTACCGGCGGCTACTACAAAATCTACCGACAAGGTCAGCCCGGTACGCAAATCAGCAGATCAGTAGATCAGTGAATCCAGCCGCAAGCCTCAAACCGGACCAGACATCGCAAGCATCCCGCGCACACGCTACCCTACCCAGCAGCCTCGGTGCGGGATACCGTGGGTGTACGCCTTTGCGTGAAAGTGGTGCGCAAGGCTAGCCGTCTCGTCTACCACATCGAAATACAGAGTCATTACGTAGAGCATTTACGCACAGGTCTTCTTGCAGACAACGACTTGGGAACGAATCCGACCAGAGCTGCAGCGGCAGAAGCTGTTAGTGCCGGTTTGCGGCAGAAAATCAACTGGCCATCCATGCAATCTACAACTTCACCGCTTTACTAGACATCCATGCTCTTAAAAATGCTTCGTGTATCGCTCTGGACTGTTGATCGTAGGATCATTATGCTACAATAATAGCCGAAGGACTGCACACGGAATCGCAGCCGCGCAAGCCACCGCCAGTACTCTTCTGAACGAGCTTGCAGAATGGCGTCTAGCAATCCATGCCTGTTGCTTGACTTTCGATGGCCTCGACGCAGAGCGCCGCCGTAAACACCAAAGCACTCTACCGCATGAAGTATATGTGTCAGCGCGCCCGAACACGACCGAGCTGCGTCAATTCTCAGAAGTATACACCATAATCATCCGCTCAGACGTGGCATTAATGTACTCGTTGCCATAGCAGCTATGCTCCACTGTACCCTATCTTGTCTCTGTCATTATCAACCACCCGTGCGTACTCGAGCAAGAGCCTGAAGAACCAGACCTCAAAATCCTCATTCCGTAGCGCCTTGCGTGCCCAATCTCGGCCTGCTTCGGCGACAGTGATGGCCATCTTCTTTCCCTCTTCTTCCGCATCAAGATACCGAACGACTTCTAACGCCTCATCTGCTTTCAAGCTCAACGGGATGTAATGTAGCCAAGGCTTGATCCAGTCTTCGTGCCATTCGCGGAAGACTGCCATCTTGAGTGGCAGGGATCTGCTTTCTAAGAATGCATAAAATCTTCCTGAGAATGCGTTTCCATCCATGTCGAGGAGATACTTCCACTTCCATGCGTCTTGTTGATCAACGCCGGGCTCCACTCCGAAGAATTCTCGCTGAGCGTCACAATCGCCAGGATCGCACTGTCCGATATGCGAGAAGTGGACGTCCATGAGGTCCTTGAAGTCCGATCTCGGCATTTCCTTCGTGATCCACTCTGTATGGCCTCGGTCCTTATCCGTGGCTGCTGAATTGGAGTTCTGAAGTATCTTGGCGGTATCAAGAGCGTTCACTTTGGCGACAAATTTCTGTCGATGTTGTCTTCTCCAGCCGCCATTTCGACTGAATCCTCCGGTTGTGCTTCCACGCCACCAGAATTTGCTGATCTTCTTGTCCCATGCCATGTCGGAGATTTCTTTGTAGTCCACTTTGCCGAACCAGTACCACGGACTGGGAAACAAGATGTCATTGAATGAGGACATCTTGCTTTGGCTGAATACTGGATAGAGTTCGTGTACGACGTTAAAGGCGTTCGGTCGGTCAAAGAAGCCGTGACTTTCGCCGTAAGAAGGCGAGTTACAAACGTCGGAGAATGCTGTTTGGTTGTAGACAAACCCTAGATCACCAAGGGCATAGGCTGTCATGTTGTCTTTCGCGAGTTGAAGTTCCAGTGCTCTCGCTGGGCTTTCAGCTGGACAGGACAATCGGGATGGAATCCAGGTGGGTTGATGCGCGAAGACATTGAAGTGCGTGGTCTTGACTTCTGGCACGCGCTTCTTGTAGCTCATATCCTTTGGACGCTTTGAGAACGAGTTTCTCGGCGTCTGCTGAGCATTGGCGGCAGGCATGTTCTTGTCGAGCGCGAGTCGTATCAGCCGCGAGAGTTCATCGTGCGGGACCACCACTCGTGGCTCATCGTGAATGTTGAAAGGCAGGTCCAGATCCGGCAAATATTCCACAAAAGATTCCATCATGCCCACAGCCGCTTGCTGAAGCCACTCTGGACCTCCTTCGATATGGACTGCTTTTCCATCTCGAACGAGAATGCCCATGAGCATGTTGTCGCTAAATCCAAGCGCTTCTCTCGAGCGCTGGCGGACGGTAGCGGGAGAAAGTCCCCAAAAGGGGAGAAGTGAACGATAGATGGTATCGTAATCATCAATCAACTGTACTTCTCGCTTTTTCGCGAAAGCATACCACTTGTCGAAGCCAGGTGGCGGTGGAATCTTGTAGCGCCGCTTATATTCCGCAACAGCAGCTTCGAGGGTCTGAGACTGGGACTGCACCTTCGCAGTCCACGAAGCCTGTGCATCGCTGATCAATCTCTTGACCGGATGCGTCTTCGTGTCGGTATATGCGAGCGGCTTCAAAGGTTCTGTGGGTGCGGCAATGAACGGCTCGCCTGGAGTATCCAAAGGTGCGTCAAACGCTGCTGATCGAAGTGGTGAGTGCAAATAGTAAATGACGAGCACTGCCAAGGATATGCATGCTGTGGTCGACAAGATTCTGCTATATCGCATACGCATCCTGGAGCCACGCGAAAAGAGATCCTGCTCGTCAAGCAACGAGAAAATGGAGAAGGTGCACAAAACGGCAAACCAAAGCCGTGAGAAGGAAAACGCCAACAGAAGCTCTGAAGCGACTGCCGCCGAGATGGGTATTCCACTTGCAAAGAATGCGCCCTGCCGTTGGATCTGCTGAGCGTCAGCCAAGCCCGTGATCACGTATAGTGTAGACATTGGAAAGCAGCGACGAGTGCCATTGCCACGCAACACGTTCGGTCCTGCTTCAATATCCAAAGTGTGCAACAGTACGCGAACGGCAATGCGGCTGATTGAACGAAAGATGTAGCTTACCATCAGAACAAGTGCGCCATACATAACAATATGCATAAGGACTGTCGCAATTGCGTACAGAACCGAAACTATGCTTTGCCCGAAAATCCAGTGGCTGCCCATCGCTTGTCCTAGCAAGCCATAATAGGCCAGTCCGCCAAACTTCAGGCTCTCAAGGCTGAGAGCAGCCAGACCCGTGGTCAGAGCACCTGCAGCCGAGACATTCCTCAATGTCGACGTCCAGCGCTCCTCATCGGAGACACTAGATCCTGATGGCTGGGTCAAGAGACCGCTCGCGGAGTATATGACACTACCACCACGCTGACCAGGCAATCGCGAGACTCCATGAGCTCGCGCAATCAAGTGATATGCTAGCACTTCAAGCACCGCATACGAGAAGCCTAAAGCAATGGCCGTCACAGAACCTGTGTGTGAGTAGACAGCTGCCAGCCCCGAGGTCGTGAAGACGAACAACGTGAGCCTCGAAGGGCACGGCACCGTCACAGCACCGGGTTTCGTAGGGGTTGCAGGAGTCGGGCTCGACGGCTCGTTTGAGGTCGAATCTAGTACACCACTTTGTACCAGAGTGTATATCAGTGCGGGCAGCAAAGCCTGTCATGTCATCTCAGTCAGAGCTCATCTTTCAGTCTGTCGGAGAAATCAACCTTGGCCCACCAAATGCCTGTTCCATCAACGGCACGCTCGCAAATTTGTGCCAGGGCCAGCAATGCGCCTGCAGCCCATGACAACCTCTGTGCGGGCTCCGCCTCCAGCAGCGACCCTAAGCCACCTCTTGTGCGCAGCGTCGTGGATGTGCATATCGATAGCCAGGCGACTGCGCTGGTCGACAGGGAATGCTTGGTCGATGTGCCAACGTACGCGAGCAGCGATGCCACGAACAAGACCAGTGGGAGGACTAGAGAGGCGCTGGAAGCGGAGGCGGCATCGTGCTGGTAGCGCGACAGCAACGATGGCATTGGCGGTGTCGAGAAGATCAGGATGGGTGTAGTCGCTTCATGGGGAGAGTAATCGCCTCAAAGTCGCCAACTTTCCCAGCTGGGCTCTGTGGAGGAAGGAGCAAGCAGGGCAGGAGGCCACGCGAGCCGGGTTGGCCCGCGAAGCATGATCTCCACTGGGCCGACGACGCGACAGCATTGTGCACTCACGAATATACATATACATATGCTCCGTACAGAATCGAATCTGATCAACGTCAGCCCGGAAATCCGTTCTTATGCATGGGCCGTGTTACGGACCTGCCAAGAGCGCCGACCTCTTAACATCTGACCATCTCGGGTCGTGCAAAGTTCCGCTTGTAATGCCACCAGCCGTCGAGATCTCAGTGATTATGCACTGACGGAGCCATGTAGCTGTCATGCTCCGCCATCCACCCACTGGCTGCTGCGCCATTGGAACAAGATTGAATTCAGACTGAACACGAAGCAGCGCCAACCCAGGCGCAACCACGATATGTTCCTCATAGAACAGAAAGAATGTTCGCCACTCCACTATATAAGTGCCAAGCGATGGGTATATGTTGCAGACAGTCATGAGAATAACGTCAATGAACGCCAGCAACACCTCGCTAAGCCCCAAAATCTGGTCCTTCCACTCGTGTTCCTCGTTTGATAGGCCATATGCTTCTGCAATTCCACCAAATTCGACACCATGACGCCTTCGCTATATGTGCCCAAAAATGCAAGCGACGCTCCTCAGATCGCCTTTCAAGCGTCGTAGTCTTTTATAAGAGTATCGCCAACTCCAGAATGCCACCAATCTCATCGTAAATCCAGCTATGCTTTCATCAAGTCTGCATTCCGCCGTTCCAGAAATCATCCATGAAATCCGCGAGAGGCAAGTCCCACACTTCATCTGCCTTCCTCTTCTTTGGACTTCCACCTGCTTTACCGCCGCCCTCGACGCCACCCATAGTCAGGTCTTCTCCATCATTCATCATGTTAACGATGCGGTCGTACATGGGAATCATGCTCTGAGCAACAACGCCAGCTTCACCAGTGCCCCAAATATCGGCGGCTTCGTTCTCTATCATGATCTTGATTTTCATATTGTCGCTTTGCGATACATCGCTTCCACGACTGCTCTGTGAGCCCTCGCTGGGCGTCAACTCCGGAGAAGTGTCGACATCAGATTTTGGTTCTTGCATCAATGAGAACATCAAGTCATGCGGGTCCATCCCAGGATTGGTGGGCACCAATCCTCCGTGACCAAGATCCGATTGTAGGCCTTGTTCCGCGTGCTGCATTGACCCATCGCAAGGAAGTCCCATGGCGTTGAGTCCGAGATCGATTGGGCCCCAGTTAATAAAATCGTCGGACAATTCAGCGCCAGCCACCACGGGCTCGACAGGCAGCGGGATTTCTAGCTTCTCTGCCATGGCCTCAAACATGGTCTGTTCCTTGGTGCCAACGTTTGTCTTCTTCGCTGCAGAGTCCATTTCAGCCTGCTTCTTGGCGATCTTTTCTTTGACGCTGCCTGATATTATGCCCTTCGCGATTTGGTCCATCTCTTGCTTGGTCAGATCTTGTTTGTTGAGATCCTTGGCCGTGGCGCGTGGCTTCTGCGATGCCGGCGCAGGCTTGGTGAAGCCTGCAGAGGCCTTGGGCAGTGGCTTGCCTTCAGTATCGACACCAAGTGACGCCGCGGCATTGGAGACGAGAAAGTCAAGAGGATCCTCGATAGGCTGATGCTGAGCTTGCACATGCTGTGCGAGCTGCTCCTCTGTGTCAAACCCCTGAAGAGAGGCTTCACATGTGGCATCTTTGCATCTAAACTTTTTCGCCTGTGATTCCCTTTCAGCATCGAGTCTGGCCTGCTGTTGTGTCTTCTTGACTTGCTCGGGGCTCTGAATCTTCCCGTTTGCAAGAGCAGGACTTGCGCCCGTGGCAGCCGGAGTGCCAGTCTGTCCAGCAGGCGTCGATGCTTGACTGTCTGATTGGCCGGTCTTGCGCTTCTTCTGTGGTGGGAATTTGAGTTTGTCAGGCGTGAGCTGGGTCTGGCCATACTTGGGCACACCTTGGGGACTGGGGTGTGCCCAGTCGAAAGTCTTGTTCTCCGTGGGCGCCGGGGGTGCTTTGACGGAGGCTTTGCGGTTGTGCGTCTGCTGTGATGTAGACGGGGCCATCGGCGGCGCAGGAGGCTGTTGCTGCTTCATTGCGTTTGGCACCATTCCTCCTGCTTGCTTTGCAGAGGCCTGCTTGGCCTTCAACTCAAACATGTAGGCACTCACTACCTTCTCCAACTCCCTCAACTGCTCGATCGAGACAGAGTAGTAGTCTTTCATGGTGCCATGCTCATCCAACGCGTTCTGGTGAACGATGACCTTAGCTCGCATCACCTCCTTCAGGCGCTGCTCGAGACCAGTTGACATCGCAAAGAGATAGGTCTTATTCATAGCCTCGAGCGGCTTCCACAGCTTCGCAAGCGACTGCCGAGCCATTTCCATATTGGCAGGGTCGTACGAGACTGCAGGGCCTTTCGGGTTCGCACGTTGCACTTCTCCCAATAGGGCGTTGACCCGCTCAGCCAATTCCTGGTTCTTTTGTTGCTGAGACGAGCCCTGCCCATTTGGCGCGGCCTGAGCGGAAGGAGTGCCAAGCTGTCCTTGAGCCTTGCGAAGCGACTCGGCCTGCAGACGGTCGCGATAGACCTTTTTGACGTGTTCAGGCATGTTTGCGAGCTGCTGCGGCGTAAGATTGGGCATTTGTGGCATCTGCGGTGGCTGTTTCGAGGCCGGCGTCTCGGATGGAGGACCACCCATGCTTGAAATTTCGACCACATCATCACTGTTCTGCTGTGAGACTTTCTGCGAGCCTGCCTGCGCCGGCTGGGACGTCGACTGTTGGGGCGTGCGGTGAGGAGCCTGAGCACCGTTTGCCTGGTTCTGCTGGTTTGGTCTTTGCGCTTGCGGGGCCTGAATATTAGTCTGCTGAGTGTTCTGAGCATTCGGTTGATTCTGCTGTTGGCGCAAGTGGTGTGCTCGCAGCTGTTCGACTTTACGCTTATGGATTGCGCGTCGAATATCGTCGTCGGACATTTGAGCCGCCTGGGGTATTCTCTGGCGGAACATCTGAATCTCTTCGGGGGTGGGAAGCAAATGGGGCTGCATCATAGCATTGCCAGCTTGCGCAGGCGGCACCATTGGAGCAGGCGGCACCATCGGTGCGGGAGGCGCCTGCTGGTTCGGTATCGACATTTGGGACTGTCCAGCATTGTTCTGTTGTTGCTGAGGTTGAGGCTGCTGTTGCTGCTGCTGTGGATTCTGTTGCATGTTACGGTTCTGGAGCACTCGCTGAATGTCACTAGAGATCAATTCGTCGTTGTCTTGCATCCATTTTCGCTGCATGACTGTAATTTTGTGGGCCGTTCCTTGCGGCAACGAGGCGGCGTTCTGAGTAACGTACTGCTTCAACTGAATCCAGGTGTTGATAGTGGGTGCAAGGCTTAATCCTAGCGCGGCCTGATACTGTTTCGGGAACGGCTTCGAATCGACGAGTTGGCATTTCATCTTGAAGAGCTGATTCTGCTGCGCCTGTCTTACGACTGTCTGAGGGTCCAATGGCATCGCTCCATTTGGTTGATTAGGGGTGCCTTGCTGAGCGTTGAAGTTCGGCATGCCGTTGCCCATCGGTGGTACAGCCTGGTTCTGCATGCCCACGTTTGGCACACCTTGCGGGCCGGCTTGACCAAATTGACCTGCTTGGCTGTTTGGAAATGGTTGCCCTGGTGGTCGGTTCGCGTTCGGGTTCTTGAATCGGTTCAGCACCGCTACCATTTGATCTTGTGGCATAGATTGCAACTTCTCTCGGAACGGAGGAGGGACCTTCTGAAGCAGCTGTTGCAATTGTTGCGGAGTCAATTGTGTCGAACCTGACCCAAGCTGTTGCTGTTGCTGCTGATTGTTCTGGTTCAGCATGTTCTGATGATGGGCCATAAGCTGCTGATTCGCATTATTCATTGGAGTCTGTGGTGTCGGTTGCGGCCGGTTGGGTTGAGGCGTGCCAGGCGTAGTTTGGCCCGGAGGGATCATCGGCCTATTAAGCATCGACATCGCCGGGCTATTGGCCTGGCCCGCTGGGCCACCGTTGAAGGCATTTGGAGCATGGAGACCTCCAGGTTGTCCTTGCAACTGGTTTTGTTGCTGCTGATTTCTGGCTTGGGCAGCCTGTATGGCTTGTCGCTGCGCCATCATCTGCTTCTGCAGCCGCTCCTTCTCCTGTGCGCTTTGTTGCGACAAGAGATGCTGGGAGTTGAAGACGTTGTTTGGTTGACCGCCCTGACCAGGTTGTCCTCCTTGATTAGCAAGCATTTGCGGGTTGATGTTCTGCGGCATATTCATCTGATTACCAATCCCCATGTTGGCGTTATTGTTACTGTTGTTGCTAGCGGGGACAACCTGCTCACCAGCATCCGCCGACTTCACCGCGTTCGCCTGCTGGCCCAGTAGGGCAGAGAAGTCGATCGCTTGCCCATTTGTCTGAGAGGGAGGTCTTTGCGGCATGTTGTTGCCCATCTGCATCATGGGCTTGTTTTGCTGGGCGTTCATCGCTGCCATTTTTTGTCTCACTTGCTCGCCTGCCCTCAACATGCAGAACTGCATCAATGGATCTTGACCGGTCAGTTGCTGTCGTTGCTGCGCTTGCTGTCGTTGATGAGGATTCAATCCAGCAAGAAATCTCTGCCGAGCCACGTTCTTGTTGTCTTCGGACATGCTCTCATACAGTCGCTTGGCCATGGCCTGAATCTGTGGCTGGAGACCGGCCGGCCGCATTTGGCCCATATTCGAGCCTGGTTGCTGGTTTTGCTGGCCAATGGACTGCGGCGGCTGTTGTGTATTTTGCTGCTGCGGCGCCGGCTGCTGCGGCTGCTGCTGCATGAGCGCAGAGGGGTCTAGAGTGCCCGGCTGGTTGGGAAGGTTGACAGGTGAGGCCTGCATGGGACGCTGTAGCTGTGTCGGGAACATCGGATTGCCTGCGTTCATCTGATTTGGTTGCATGCCCATACCGCCAGGTCGGAAGTTCATGTTCATGTTGCCCATGTTTCCCATATTGCCCATGTTGTTCATAGCGTTGTTCGGCATGTTCGGCATACCACCACCCATCATACCACCAGGTCGCATCATATTCGCATTGCCCATCTGGTTGGCCTGCATCATGCCCGGGTTCTGAGGGCCAAGTGAAGCATTCTGCATGGTCTGCTGTCTGCGACCATGAATCTCTTTGAGCTTCATGTCCATCCGCTGGACATAGTCGTCTTTATTTTGCGCTTCTTGAAAAGTTCGCATTTCCCATTTTTGCGCGATGTTGAGGCATGTGGTCATATCACTGTTGAGGGCACGCAGCTGGGTCACACTGGAGTGAAGTCAGCACAGCGCCAAGCGGACTTGGGCGGAACAAAGCAAGCGCGGGAGAGAGCGAAGGTTGGAAAACAAAGACTTGAGGCATGGGAAGACTTACAGCTGCATGATCCGCTGTGCGCGATCTCGAATGTCGTGGGTGGCCTGCCAGGTACCATTAAGTGCCGCGTTCTGTCGAAGGTCTGAGATTATGCGTGCGTGAAGTTGTTGCTGAATATTGCTGCATGGGAAGAGTGTTAGCAATTCGATTGCAGTTTGGTCCGCATTCCATGGAACGGCGAAAGCTCACCCGGACTGCGGACGCTGCATGCCCTGATTCATCATGTTGGGCATGCCGCCGCCCATGATATTATTCGGCTGCTCCATGTCGACGGCGTGGTGTACTTCTTAGAGCAAGCACTTGAGGCGGCACTTGGCCGGCGGTGGAGGCAGCGTGTCTCGGCATGCAGCGCTGCGGTGCGGTGCGGGACTGGATGTTCGATCTCAGAGGGCGTTTCGTTGCAGTGAAGGTGTCGGCGGGGTCAAAATGCTGGTGATTGTGGCGTCGTAGCGGTGGGTGTGGAAGTCGCAAGAATACTGTAGTGGCAGAGTCGTCGGCAGGTGTCGATCTGCTCAGTGGACAGCGGAAAGGTCACACGCGCGGTGGGCGGTGCAGCGCAGGGCAGAGTGCAGCACTCGGTCAGCGGCTGCCAAGCGTCGAAATGGTTGGCCCGTGCGGTCGCTGTCCAAATGGCGGCGTGGACGTGGACGTCGCTGTCGCTGTGGTGGACAGAAGCGGCAATGTTGTTCTTCTTCGCTCACAGTGGAAAGGAAGCTGGCCTGGAAAGCTCACTGACGCCGACGGTAGGTTGACGGTGGAGTCGTGTGCGCTAGCTCTAGTTTGAGACTTTAAGCCCCCATGCAGCTTTAGCGAGCAGAATCAATTCCCCAATCCCCATGCGCGAATCAATGCGGCGGCAATTGAGGAGGGGCACACGGGTACATGTGATGATGGAGTGATTGAAATGCTCAGTTCCGTTGTCAAGTTGACTTGCTATTCTACGCAGGCCTGACAATGATACCATAGAAGCAGAAGCAGAGGCCAGGCCGAGTGAGGCAGAGGCCGCCAAGCAGCAGCAACGGCGGCTCCCATGCAGCCTTCTTATGACGGCCCGCATCGTGGATGGTTTGGAGAGGGAGCTAAAATTTGGCGGCGTTGCAATGTGCATTTGGCGGCGGCGACCTGAGGCTCACGTCCTCCCGCTGTCTCGAGGTCGATGCCGCATACTTATCGCATACCGCTTCGGATAGGAAATACCGGGGTCTGATGTGCCAGGAAATGCTGGCGGCTCATCAACGTGCGGTGCCGGTGCGCTCTGCTGCGTGCGCAAGTTACGCCTGCGAGCGACTGAGTGTTTGATGTTTCGCTGTCCGAGAGGTGACACTCGTCGCGAATCATGCCCTCGCTCTGCTTCCCCATTGGCCATTGCACCAGTGACTACTGTAGCTGCGTAGTGCAGTGCGTACCACCGATGCATCATGCACCATGCACCTCTCTGGCCTCGCTCCTTCAGACGCGACTGAGGTATGTACAGTATGCCTTGTGCACACTTCTAAGAATACGCGTTGACCGGCGTGTGCTGTCACAATAATGTCCAGGTCCTCTCAGCCAGGAATAAGGTAGAACTAGAATACTGCACCGCAGTCTGCAGGCAAGCTTGACCGGCAGATGGCTTGAAACATGATGGCGACGAGATTCAACAGGGGCTCCTGACGTTTCGCGCAGCAGAAGAACGACATGGAATTCTACTATATAAGCTACTGCTGTATTGCCACCCTCTTGAACTCCTTCGTGATGCCCGTGATGGCTTCCTCGACCGGTAATCTCTCCATACTGCTCGCTCCAAAAAATCCGTGCAAGCCCTTCACCCTCTCCAACACGTACTTTGCATCCTTCGGCGCTGCAATCGGTCCGCCATGGCAGAGAACGATGATATCTTTGCTGACCTTCGTTGCAGCATCTCGAATGCTCTGGATCAACTGCACGCACTCATCCACACCTTTTCCACTCCGTGCGCCAATGCTCCCTGAAGAAGTCCTGGAAACCGATCAGTAACTGCATCGACCATAATGTACCATGCGCATTAGATAGATCCACGAACAATCCCATGTGGGCGACAATGACGTCTGCACCTGCTTGTGCCATCTTTGTTGCCTCGTCTTCGTTGAACACGTAGGGCAAAGTGAGCATGTCGAGTTCGTGCGCCGCTTTGATGGTGTCGACTTCGAGCTGGTATCCCATACCGGTCTCCTCCAGATTTGCTCGAAATGTGCTGCATTTTTAAGAACTGTCAGCCAACGTCTCTGGCGTTGCAGAACACCACCGCCACCACCACCACCGATACCCACCCATCGATTAAGCCAACAGTCGGAAAGTTCTGCACACCTGCAAAACCTAGGTCCTTGAGCTGCTTGAGAAAGCGAGGAATGTCTCGAAATGGATCTGTGCCGCAGACGCCTGCTATGACTGGCGTATGCTTGACCACTGGTATCACCTCCTTGGCCATGTCCACGACTACATCGTTTGCATTACTGTACGGCATCAGGCCGGCGAGGGATCCTCTGCCTGCCATTCGGAAGCGCCCACTGTTGCTACATTCGAACACAACTCAGCAGATGTTCGCGAAACATGGCCATTGTGTGTCAACGCACTAGATAACAATCACGTCTCCGCCTCCTTCCTCAATGAACTTTGCAGAAAGTCCAATGCCTATATAAATGAATGAGCGTCTTGGCATCAAACTCGACGGCGACCATGTACTTACCGGCGCCGGCGCCAACAATCGCTGTGCCATTTTTGATCTGCTTCCTAAACGCTTCAAGGATCTGTTTCCGGTCTGTTGGGGGACTCATTGTCAATCAAGCAGCTCATAAATTTTGAAATAATGGAGAAGCGAAGACCAGTATCCGGGTTCCTCACTCAAGAACGTTACCTCCAATTCTGCTGTGATACAAGTAGCTTCGTACCATGCGAAGCGAAACGAGGATGTGCATGGGTGACGCAATGCAGCTTCTTGTCCCTGCAGCGATACAGTATGCATGCAGCAACTCCGCAGATCGACCTTACCTTCTGACGACACAGCTCTTCTTCTCAAGAGTGGAAGCTCATGGACATGTATCTGTACTCTAACGACCTCTGACCAGCAGAGAAGATGCCGAGAATAGTCCTGCTAGGCACATGTGATGTTAGCACCCGCATCCGTACACTTGCTCCATTGTCGAAATGCTAACGAGGGGAGCAACAGACGAAGCTCGATGAGTTACTATACTTGCGATCCGGAATCCTCGAAGCAGGCAAAAGTTCTTGCAAAGTAATCCTCGTCGACGTCGGTCGTTCTCCAACGAGCCACGAAGCAATCGATATCACTCAGAAGCATCTAACAACCAAATATGGCCCAAGCGAGTCTAAGGATGTCGGATCTTTGCCTAGGGGAGATGTTATCAAATATATGATTACATGCGCTTCCAACTGGCTGCGGGAAGCTTACAATAACGGTCTCCGAGACCCATCTCAAGGACTTCATGGCATTGTCAGCGCAGGAGGTACCGGTGGCACTTCTCTCGCCTCTGGGGCAATGCGAGCCAGTCTGCCCATTGGATTTCCCAAATTAATCGTCAGTACTGCCGCCTCAGGAGACACCGGAGCCATTGTTGAAGAGACCGACATCACTTTGATGTATTCGGTCGTCGACATCGCTGGAACAAACACTTTGCTCAGAAGAATCTTGTCAAATGCGGCTGGATCAATCCATGGAATGGCGCAAATTTATGAGAAGTCTCTATCATCATCATCATCATCTGAACAGGGCAAGAAGAGAAAGAGAGTTGGTCTTACTATGTTTGGTGTTACCACCCCATGCGTTGATAAGGTTCGGCAGTATCTGGAGTCGAATCATGAAGTAGAATGTTTCGTCTTTCATTGTACTGGACATGGTGGCAAGGCAATGGAGAGGTTGGTTGAGCAGGGCGATCTGGATGCTGTGCTGGATATCACGACGACCGAGATCTGCGATTACTTGGCTGGAGGTGTCATGTCGGCTGGTGAACACCGGTTGGAAGCTGCATTGAAGGCTGGAATTCCTTACGTGGTCAGCGTTGGCGCGATCGATATGGTAAACTTCGGTCCTAAGGGCACGGTGCCTGAGAGGTATCAGAAGGCGCAAAGAAAGCTTTTCGAGCACAACCCGACCGTAACGCTTATGCGCACTTCGCCGGAAGAATGCACGCAGATTGGCAACTTCATCGTCGAGAAAATCCAAAAGTTCGCAGCAAAGAAGGAGAATGTGCATATCGTCTTGCCGCTTGGCGGCGTCAGCATGATTGCGACACCTGATGCGCCATTCTACGACGCCAAAGCTGATGAGGCCATATTCTCATCTATTACGAACGGATTGAAAGATTCTGGAGTGGTGTTGATCAATGACCAGCGGGCAATCAACGACGAAGGGTTTGCTGTTGACATTGCGAAGCGATTGGTGTCGCTGATGAGACTTTGAGGGCTGACCGTGTAGCCTCCATGAGACTCTCAAGGACGTCGGAGAGGCTTATAGTGACGTGCACTGTGGTTTTTGCCAAGGTCACAAGCAGACATGATGGTCAATGTCGGATCCTCCCGAGATGCGGCAGGATTACAAATGGTTTGCCAAGAGGACGGCAGGAGTCAGCAGCTCGCTCCTACGAAGCTCCGCTTCTCCAAGGGCTTGACTTGACTTGGCTTGGCAGCTACAGCTGTAGGTCGACCTGAAGCAGGAGCTTCGCGAAGTGCATACGCCACAAATTCTCGAGCTCTGGATCTGCTTTATCATCATTCCCTAAGCCGGAGCTTGTATCTACAGAGCGGACACGAGGCGTTGAGCTGAGATCAGCTGTGAGCAGATGCCAACACAGGCCTCGCCCGCGGCACCGACGTGGTCCTGCGATGTCGTGAAATCGACACTCAGGATGTAGTTAAGATATATGCTTCTGCCGTTGTCTGGCTTCAGAGCAGCAACAACAAGAAACCAAGGGCAAGACCAGAACAACTTTTACCAACATTGAACTCCACACCACCTGGATCCTTCGAGCCAACACATCACTCAAGCATCAAAATGTCTTCTAACAACAAGAAAACCCTCCTCATCTTCGGCGCAACAGGAAACCAAGGCGGTTCCATAATCGACCTCGTCCTCGCACGCTCAGATCTTTCCTCAAAATATGCCCTCCGCGGCATTACTCGCGACCCCAACAGCTCCAAATCCCAAAGCCTCACCAAAAAAGGCGTAGAAATGGTGCAAGCCGATCTCGACGACATCTCGTCTCTCAAATCCGCCATGGAAGGCGTATACGGCGTCTTCGGCGTCACGGATTTCTGGAGTCTGATGTCCAAAAACCGGGAAATACAGCAAGGAAAGAATATTTTCGAAGCGGCGAAAGGCAGTGGGGTGGTGAAGCATTTGGTATGGTCGAGTTTGCCGAATGCTGAGAAAGTTTCTGGGGGGAGGTTGAAGCATGTCGACCATTTTGATGGGAAGGCTTTGGTGGAGGAGTATATTGAGGCGAATAAAGGGGATATGATTGCGAGTTATTTCTTGCCTGGTGAGTTTTGACGAGATCTGAGAAAGGGTGCAATTCTGCGATGAATCGTGTTTTTTTTCCCCCGCTGACTTTTACGTCTCATCTTAATAGCCATGTTCATCACTTTCGCGAAAACTCAGATTAAACCTGGACAAGATGGCAAGCCGACACTGGCGATGCCGTTCCCTTCAGACGATGTCGCATGGCCTTTGATCGATCCGAGACGAGACGGTGGCAAGTACGTGATGGGGCTGTTTGAAGGAGGCGCAGGAGCCAACGGGGCCAAAGCTCATGGTGTATCAACTTGGACCACACCCAAGGAGATTGTCGCTGCGTTGAGCAAAGTCTCTGGGCAGGAAGTTGTGTTTCAGAAGCTGCCTGCGGACGTCTTTGCTGGCTTTTTACCAGAAACTATCAGAGACGAACTTCTTGAGACAATGCTGCTTGTTGGTGATCACAGCTACTATGGCAAGGGCGAGGAGAAAACCCAGGAAAAGTCTGACGAGTGGTTGATCGAGGGTGAGAATCTTACATCTTTCGAGGAATGGGCTCAGGAAAATGGGCCATGGAAGTGGTGAAAAAAGTTGGTGATGTGAATTGCAAAGATCAATATATATATCGACTTTTGATCTGGTGACTCTCCCAATCAGCATGAAAGTATTGGAGTCATGACTTCCGCTCAATGCTGTGAACTCTCAAGGCCCCCGCAAAATTCTAGCAGCTTAGAAGCATTGTTTCGGCCGTCTCTCGTGGCATCGCTGTATTAACGGAAAGGTTCTCAACTCTCCAGCTGATCCTGCACCCGGCGCAGTAGAGGCTGACTTTCACCATCTTTGGCGTCTGGCTTAGGGTACGGAAACCATTTGTACTCGCCGTCATCGACCTTGGACACTCGCCATGTGCCTGATTCTTTGGCAGTCTCGAAAAATTCTTGATTCTCCTCAAAGGTTCGACCCCCGGTCTCTGGGCAGTACAGGAACGTCGTTGCTCCTGCGACCAGATTCGTTGCAGCGAATACCAGATAGATCCAGAACTTGAGGTTGTTGAACAAGATCGGTGTAATGAGTGTGATTACGAAATTGGCCAAGCCCCAGATAATGACGGACACTGCAGTTCCTTGGGCTCTTGCCGGGGTTGGGTAGATTTCGGTAGGAATAAGCCATGGTGGGACTAGCCATCCGATACCGAAAGCTCCTGTAGCAATGAAGAGAGCCGCGATACCGGGAATTGCTACTGCGTTGACATGAATGTGAAAGTCTTCGTGATGGAAAGACAGGCCACCAAATACGGCCAGTAGAAGGAAGCAAATAGTTAGGACGCCAGATCCATACAGAAGCACTGTTCGTCGTCCAAGCGCGTCTATCAGTAACCATGCAAATGTCATTAGAATGAAGTACGAGACGAAGTTTGCCTGGGTCAGATATTCCGAGAGCCTGACACCATAGCCCAGTTGTTCGAATATCTGTGAATCGTCAGTAATGTGACCCCTGCTTCGAGGGCGATACCATACCTGAGGTCCATAGACAGACACAGCACCATAGCCAGTAAGTGCCTGATTGACTTGACCCATGATGACGATGATAGTGGGATGAAATTGCGTGTGACTTGGTGTGAACATATCCTTGTAGCCGATCTTCTGGTCGCTTTCGTCTTTTGATGCTTGCACCAGTTCATCGCATTTCGATTTGGCCTCTTCCACGCCGATGATCTCCCTCAGCGACTCTGTTGCCTGCTCGGTCCTGTCGTGGAACACTAGCCATCGTGGACTCTCTGGAAGAGATGAGATGAAGAAAAAGAGTGAAAGTGGATAGACCTGCATGGCGCTGTAGAGGACGAAGATCAGCAACAACTCTCAGCTAACGAGACTCTTTACGGAATGGGCCTACATGATAGGGACTCTCCACGCCCACTCATTCCATTTCCCGAGGGTAACGGTGAGAGCCAGATTTATGGCGAAAGCCATGTTCAATCCAAAGATGTTGGCCTGGAATTCCTGCGCGAGAGCCTTTCCTCTGGCGTCATCTGAGCTCAGTTCTGCAGAATACACAGGTACCACGCTGTCAACACCGCCAATTCCGAGTCCCATCACGAGACGTCCGAGATACATCACGATGAGGGCGCCTTGGCTGTATCCGAGTCCAGCTAGGAACATGATCAGATTGCCGAGAGACGCTGTGGCGAGGCAGAACAACAGTCCAGGTTTGCGTCCATATCGGTCAGCAAACCAAGAGAAGAATGGAGCGCCAACCGATGTTGCAAGATAGTACACTGCTACGATTAAGCCGACTTGTACGCTTTCCTCGTCCAGGCCCATGCTTGCGAGGTAATTCTTGTTAGTATTTATGAGGGACATCATGCCCTGATCGTAGCCATAAAGGGCGATCGCGGTGGATGAGAAGGCAACGACCTATTCGAGTGTACATTGTCAGCTGTGCTCCTGAGATTTGTTCCCATTGCATTTCACAGGAAACACTCACCTGCGCCTTCTTGTCGAACCCCATCTTGCAATCCCTGTCCGCGGTGGGTCCAGGGTCCCGGAAGCGAAAGTTTCGAGCACCGGATATACTGTCCAACTTCCACTCTTCTGTCACACAAACAGGATGCCTGCTTACAGAACCACATACGCTATTGTGAGAGAATGCAGATTGAGGTCTGTGTGGAGGAAACGTTTCCCATCGCACGACAAGCGCAACCGTGCAGAGCGAAGATCTTGGTTGAAGTTTAAAAGTTGCACGTGTGGGGGACGTCATTCCGGGCAAAGGGTGCGGTGCACTGGTGCAGATTCCCAGATCCAGCGCACCAGATCGATTTGGGATGTCGGGTGCGCGGCAAGCTAGTGAAATAGGTTGCCTCCAATGAAGCAGTATTGAGAACCGCCGAGGGCTTGCAGGATGCAAGATCATGGACAAGACGGAGCTCCACGCCGAACAAGATGCTAAGGATTTGTATGAATGGTATCACTCCTCACTCCTTCATCATGGCTCTCTTCGCTAAACCCACCGCAATGGATGCAATCCTGAACTCCACGCTAACTAGCATAATGATATCGTCCGAAGTCTTCAAGATCTAGCCCCAAGGGGACTGCTGTTGCGGCGTGTTCTGCCCTGGACGCGGAAATACTGGCACTGTTTCCAGATGCTCTAAGCCACCCATCGTGGCCTGCGGGCCATGTTGCCACCCCGAACCAGTCTGCTGATTAACAAATTGACTTTGCCTGAAAGGATTTGTGCTACCCGTGGCTTGCACCTGCAACAGCGCAGGCTGTGACGAAGGGATATTCTGGCGGAAAGGATTAGATCCTGTTGCTTGTGGTACCAGAGGCTGAGGTGAAGTGGCTTGTGACGCAAATGGAGAAGTCGCCTGCTGCTGCATTGCCACGGGAGATGGCCCGTTTTCTGGGATTGGCTGTATTGCGCTTTTCGCGAACGGATTCGTGGACTGCCTGTTCAAAGATTGCTGCCCGAGCGAGCTCCCAAGTGCGCCGCCGGTACCCGTGGCCATCATCGATTGTCTGAACGGATTTGTGGTCTGCGGCTGGATTTGTGCAGGTGTTTGAGCTTGGACTGGACTTAGGTATTGTTGTGCTGGGGCGAATGCCTGTTGTTCCGGTTGAGGTCCATAACCACCGAAGCCAGCACCAGTGAATTGGGTTTGCAAGGGCTGTGCTTGCTGCATAGGCTGCTGTTGATAGGGATTGGTAGGAGCTCCATTCGTGCCGTATCCATTCATCGGCTGTGGAGCGCCTGTCTGGTATGGTTGCTGCAAACCCATAGGCTGTAACTGTTGTTGTGGCGGTGCCTGCTGCTGTAGGAATGGATTCGTTTCGCTTGTTTGCTGATTGCTTTCGATCGACTGGAAGAAATCGATGAGGTCTGGTGCGGGACCCTTGGCCGGCTGGTTGGCAGCTGGAGTTGCTCCTGACTTCATGTCATCGAAAGGCGTCTTCATTGTCGCAGTGGCCGCGGCCGTCTGTGATGTAGACTGCGCTGGTCTCGAAAACGGCTTGCCTCCCTTCCTCGACTCTAGCTCGGCCAGATATTGCCTTCTATTAATTTCAAAGTCCGGGTCATCCAGATATTCCTGCAACGAAGCCGCGAGGCTAGTCGGTGCGTGCTTCAGCTTTGGTATCTCCAGCCTTGTGGCGTACTCATACTGCCGCGCAACGCTCAGGTACTGCACGACTTGCTCTGTCTGCTTGCAAAAGTTCTTGTATATTGCAATAGATCGTTCAGCATCGGGCCGTGACATCTCGAAGTAATGGCTGAGCACGTTCATGACCGCCTCGTTCTCCACATTATACAGGTCCAGCAGATCGCGAGTCAAAAGTCGAAAGGCAGTCAAGGATATCTCGTTCTCGACGTCATTCGATAGGAGGTCGCACCTGACTAGGGCTTTGATTTGCGATTGTACCACCTCAGTCTCTCGCAGTAGGCCCTTGTCGACGGTCAAGCGCTTCATCCGCCCCTCGCCGGAGCGTACGAAATCACACTTGCTGCGCTCGTAGGCTACCGCGCGCGACAGCAGATACTCCGAGTAGACTCTTATGTTCTGACCCTGGGTCTGCACGTCGGTGAAACTGTTGATAGCTAGGCGGTTTCGCGGCGCGACTGCCAGATAGCTCAGGGTGACATCCTGCACGCCCTCCTTGATCATCAAATGCACGATGATCAGCGCCTTGAAGGCTACCGTCCATGTGGAATCGCGCAGACGGTGGGTCAGCGTGCGGAAGACCTCGGCGACGCCTGCCTCGCCAGACTGCGTCGCTAACAGGATGTGCTCGACATATTTGGACTTGGGCGGCGCAGCTTTGACCTTGGTGCCGCCCTTGACGCTCTTCTCGAAGCTCGACGACATGGCTGGGTGCGATCGGTGGGTGCCGAAGGGCATTGACGGCGTGGTGGAGGTGGAGGGCTATCGCTTATGGCGCAGCATTTCTGGGTCTATGCTGCGGAATGAATGGATGTCAGGGCGGTGGAGTTCGAGTCGGCGGAGACTGCGGTCATCAACAATCAATGGCCACGCTTGCCAATGCCGGCACAGCAGCGACACGACAGCGCTCGGCCGCAAATGTAATTATGATAAGTTAGACGATGACTTCAGTAGTTCTGGTGAAACACGCAGCAGCCAGCTCTGTTCCAAGCCAAGCCAAGCATAGCGTAGCGTCTGTCGGCAGTGGCTGAGCTGAGTTTCCGAGAACCGCTGTCTCCCGGCATGGGCATGGGCGACGGAGCTCCATACATACCAGAGGCTCAATGCAGACTTTGTACTGCAATTTTTGCCCCTACAAATTGTTTTTAATATATCTTTTTATCTAGAGGACTTATAGCTAAACAATATAAGACAAAGATACTCTAATCTAGGTCTATTTTTAGAAAAAATTAAAATTTTTAGTCGTTACCTACTAAATTAATAAGCTATATAGCCTAAAACTCTAAGTTAGACGTTTTAGGATTTAAGCGTTTTTTTAAGCCTTAGTATACTATTTTTATTAATCTAAAGTCTAGGTCTTATAGCCTTACTTTATAAGACTCTATATTAAGGTTTCTATCTTAATATAGCTACTATTAGTAATATAATCTAGAAAAGAATACTATAAAAACTTAGATTGTTCTTAGATTCTATCTTATATATCTTTTTATTTAGAAGAGTTATAGCTTAGTAATATAAGACAAAATTACTTTACTCTCTATATATATTTAGAAAATGACTAGAATTATTATAGCTATCTACTAAGATTAGCCTAAAATTCTAGAATTAAGATTTTAAGATTTTAGTATGTTTTAAGCCTTAGTATACTATTTTTAGTAATCTAAAATTAAAACCTAACAGTTTTATCTAGTAAAATTTCCTATTAGAGCTTTTACCTTTATTAGTTTATAAATAGTCTTATAACTTAAGAAAGAATATTTTTTAAAATTCTAAACTTTGAATTCTTAAGCTTATAATTCTTAAAAAATATTCGCTTTTGGATTTTAAGACTAATAGTAGGCGTATTTAGATAGGAATCTTAATATAGATTAAAACTAGGTAAAACCTTTAGTTCTAGCTTTTAGATTACTAAAAATAGTATTATAAGGCTTAATAAATACTAAAATCTAAAAGTCTTTCTTTTAGATTTTTAGGCTAATCTTAGTAGATAACTATAACAGTTTTACTTAATTTCTAAAAATAGATAAAAAATAGAGTATCTTTGTCTTATATTATTAAAGTATAACTCTTCTATATAAAAAGATATACTAAAGAGAACTTAGTAAGAATTCAGGTTCTAATAATATTCTTTTCTAGATTATATTACTAATAGTAGCTATACTAGAATAAAAATCTAGAACTAGATTCTTTTTAAACAAAACTATAAGACCTAGATCTTGGATTACTAAAAACAGTATACTAAGGCTTAAAAAACACTAAAATTCTAAAACGTCTAACTTAGAGTTTCAAGCTATATAGCTTATTAATTTAGGAGGGAACGACTAAAAATTTTAATATTTTCTAAAAATAGACCTCAATTAGAGTATCTTTGCTATATATTGTTTAGCTATAAGTCCTCTAGATAAAAAGATACATTAAAAACAATTTGTAGGGGCAAAGATTGTACTGTATCGCTGCGGTAAGAAGTGCTGCATTGAGCCTCTGGTACGTATAGGCCTCCGTAATGGGCATGGATTCTCGTGCGATCTGATCTTAGCCAGAGAAGATCCACCACGACGACGCAAGGTGCAATATCACATGGGAGTCCTGGTCTATCAGACGGCATCGATTATTATTGTCTTCATACTCCTGCCTATGTTCCCGAAATCCGTCCTCGAGATAACAGGCATCCAAACCTCGCGTCCCATCTCTCTCCTGCTCGCCCCAACTACCTTCTCCATCACAAGCTCATCGCATCGCATATTCCGCACCAAGTCAAGCTACGCGCAGGAGTAGAGGCTGCAAAGCCGGATCCTCCAACAACTTCTCCATCGCATCCTCAGTCAGCTGCACCAGAACTTCCCATACACCCTCATCGGACTTGGCGGGAAGCAAAATGCAGCCATAACTGGAATGCTGTCGACTCACTTTGCGCACATAATCAGGCGCACCCAGACCTAGACCAAGATCTGCCTCGAGCACGCTCGACCAGTCCGTGACAAAGACATCGTTTTGGAAGTCCACCGCGGGATGATTCACGCTGCGAACATCTTCGCGGTCATTGATGAGCGCGATCGCTGATCGGACTTTGATCTCGTGCATCTGCTTCGTGCCGCGGTGCACGAGTTCAGTGGTGCGTAACATCGTTCCGACGTCGATTGGAAGACACAGCTGGATGACTGGTGCCGTGCTGTGAGCGTAAAGCGATGCATTGCCGTAGTAGTCCTTGCTCATAATCGGCTCCATGTTGTCGCGTATACTGATTGGCATCAGAAGTGAAGATGACTGCCCACTGGTGTCGTCTCGGCTTAGACAGCGAGCTCTTGTCAGTACTTTCCAAAGAATGGCTACCAAGCAATCTTTTGTGGAAAATTCAGGTGCAGTTCTCAAGAGCATATTCTCGCACCGCTCCACCAGCATTGTCTTGATGCTGCTAAGCTTTTGCAAGTCGAACGAAAGAACATGGCAGGAGCCGTAGCTTGGTGCGAGAGACAGTCTTCTGGCTCTGCCACTGCCGGTAATGATCTGGTACTCGGGGTGCTCAGCGGCATTTGATTTGACGCCTCTTGATCCTGAAAGACGATCTCGAAGTCGGGATTGCTCCACTGCATCTTCATGCAGACTTTGTAAAGTCAGCTCCTGTGGTGGTAAAATATCAGCGGAGATCGATAGATGGCGGATGATTGTTGCGACGCCGTGGCTGTCAGCGACCGAGTGATGGATGTAGATGGCAACAAGAACACCACCATTGATAAAATTGGCCTTGGCTGCGAATACAGGGTTGCTTCCTTCGGCTGGGTCCGGCATGTCTGGGACTGGCGTGAGGGAGGTGTTCAGGAACGCGGATGCCGGCATGCTTCCTTTCATAAGGTCGCTGTACGTTGATGGAAAGGCCTGCCCATAGTTAGTGCGTGTTTTGCGAGGCAGAAAGCTCAGCCTGTGTACGTCTTCATCCAAGAAGTTCAGTGTTGGTCTCAATCGTTCCACATCTTCGAGTTCCACGCGGATTTCCAGTCTTCCGCGCTGATTTGTGCTGGCATTACTTCCGAGGCCAGTGTCTTTGCCAGACAGGTTGCTGCTTTCCTCGAAGGCGGAGCTGCTGGTTGCTGCTCCCACCGAGTCCTCGCGGATTTCCTGGCTCCGTGAGGTTGCGGTGATTGGATGTACCTTGCCAGCGAGAATTGGCAAATGACTGACTGTGCGCTGCACATTAGCCGTGAGAGCCTCTGCCACTCGCTCACGGTCCTCGTTGCTGCAAGCAAAGCAGAGACACACGCGGCTGTATGTTCTGATGGAGCTTTGATCGATCGTGGACAGCCGGTATGTTACGCCGGCCATGTTGGTGGTTGATGAGGTTTGTTTGGTTGTGTGGATTGCGGCGCTGTGCGAAGTTATCTTGAATGAGCACCCTAATTGAGTCAGGAAGGCGCAACAGAAGTGAAGTCCAATTGCAAGTGAGCTTCGACAAGTGAGGCTGAGGCTGATGGACAATGGTCTGCCACTCACTGTGAGTGATTGTTATTTTCGCGCTACCTATGCCTCGTGCCATGTTTGCCGTTACAATGCAGGCGCTTAAGACTACTCGAAATATCCTGGCGCATGACGAGGTGCAGGTCAATTACTTTTACAACTTAGAGCAGTAGAGAAAAAGTGCTGATCTTCGTCGACAGTAGCCGCAACGCGACAGGCGCGACTCAAGTTCAGCCAGACAGAGTTCAGAGTGAGTGCAACTCTCGGTATTTCTTTGCGCAGGTGGCTGGAGCGAATGTGTAGCTGCTGCCTCGAGATCGCATCCAATCGCTGATCTTCTTCCAAGGCACGCGCGAGTGAACTTCTCTGCCGCGCACGGTACCATCAAAACGCTCGAAATGGCTGACAGCGTGCTCGAGTAATTGCAGCTGACAAAACCCATTAGCGCCCGAGAGCTGGACAGACGATCAACAAGCATACTTACATCGTTCTCAGTCCAATCCGGTCGGCGTACTCGTTCACTCTTATCCTTGGTCAAGACTCGAATGCGGCCACGGAGAGTTGACTCAGCTTCCTTGAACTTGCCGCGGCGCTTGATCTCCTTATAAGACAGACCACGCTCTCGCATCTTCAGCAAGTACTTATCTCGGTCGCGGCGCAGACGCGCCTCCTCGATTGCCTGGTCGTTTACGTCAGATGACGACTCATCGTCGCCACCGGATGCTTCTGGACTGGTCTCCCATCCACGTTGGTCGAGCTCTTGGAGACTGCCTGTAAATGACTGAACGGCGTGGCGTGGATTGATCAAGGCGGGTGGGTGGATAGTTTGCGTGCTCGTGTAGAGTGGTGGCCCGTGGCCATGAGCAGCAGCAGATCCTTGGGTTGCAACGGACGGCGGGATCGCTGATAAGGGTAAAGGATACCCAGAAGGCTGGGCAAAGTGGCGAGGGTACGTGAGGCCTCCGAAAGATGCCACCGTTGATGCCGATGTCTGTGTCGAATCGCTTGAGAAAGAACCGGACCAAGAAGCTGAAGGAGTGATGCTAAAGGTTGAAGGCTCCGTCTCGAGCTTGGAAATCATGCCGGGATATGCCAAGTTGCCGTTGCTTGAGACCAACGACGCCCCAAATGGTTCTCCGCCGGCGGGGCTGATAGGTGTATGTGGTCCAGTGCCATGAGAGTCCACCGAAGAAGGAGAGGGTGCGCTGTCGTAGTCGAGGTAAGAAAGCACCCAATCTTCATCTGGGACATTCTGATATTGAGAAGTGTCAACTGAATGTGGCAGAACCGGAGGAGCGGCCACAGCTCTTGGGCTGCTATCGTCTGGGGCTGACAGGATATTGACATCTCCATGGGCAGATGCTTGGACAATGGCGGAAGCTTCTTGACCGACGGCGATAGGCGCGTATGAGTGGGTTTGCCATGGGTCGACCGCAGTCGGGCGGAAAGGAAAGTGATTGACGGTCGTGTGTTCTGAGAAGTCAGGCCATGACGCGTTCTGAAGAGACCAAGTGCTTGAAGGGGTGTCCTCTGGCAATTGGAAATATTCATCTGGATGAAATGATGTGTCGCTCACGGCAGAGCGAGGAGTGTTGCAAGCCTCAGGGGCGAAGCTAGAAGCACCAGAGGCTAGCTGACTCAATCCTAAGCCGTGCTCCCCCATATCAAGGCGAGGGCGCTGATGGTGGACGGCCATTGTTCGCAGGCGGAGATGGGGTTGAGCCTGGAACTGTCTTGTTCGGTGTTGTGGCGGGCGGCGATTGTAAAACAGATTCTGCGGCATCATGCGACCTTGTGGATGGTTCGTAGAGGTTGTGTTGGCCATTGTCTCTTTCACCGACAGGCGATGAACTGCGCAATGATCGTCAGTGCTGGCCAACACCATGCCAAAGTGCATTGCAGCTGGCGACTTACCGTAAGATCGGTGTGTAAGCACCCAGGGAACGGCGTGGCAACACGTGTTTTCGAGCTTGAGAAGAAGGCTGGATATCTGCACGAGAAGTTGTCGTGCAGCTGGAGGGTGCAGCAGCTCTGCGAGAGCGAGGCGGCAGCTCCACAGGCGGGATCAACTTAAGTCCACGCTAACGATTTTGGGAATGGGGACTTTTCTCGTCAGTGAATCTCTGGCTGGCCGTGCCTAATTTCGCTGAAGATCCGGGAAGCGGCTTGACCAGGCACAGACACAGTGTGGCAGATGTCTTGTCGTCTACAGAGATGGTCCGGCCGGACGCAAGGACGAAGATGATATGCGGCTTGCAACGAAGCCTTGCGGGAAGATTCGATGGCCTTCGCAACCTGGCTTTTTGGAAACAAAATGCTGTCAACAATTGCGGGAACTGGCCGCCGATTGAAAGTAAACAAAAACACAGCCGCCGACAATGTTAAGCAAATGGAAACGAGAGGAGCAATTCGGCCGCCAAGAGAGAAATACAGAAGCTAGTTGGAAAGGTTGGGCCACTCCGTGGAAGAGCTGTGTTCTTTGTAGGTCATGTCTCAAGGTCAAACCCCTGGGATAGAGCCAACGATGCGTTTGACAGAGCCGAGATGCCAATAGCGGAAGAGCAGAGAAACGAGCGGTCCCCGCTCCGGCCATGTGTTCGAGCCTGCTCTCTGTCACTGCAGAGCGGAATAGCTGAGGGTGTTGCGAGTTCCGCGCGGCAGAAAGTGTGGTTGACACAAGCTGCCGGGGAGTCTAAGCTTGAAGAAGCAGTGAAGAAGTGCATGCACCAGGCAGAACCCTGCGTGGCGTGTTGAGGTCTGCATCGTGAAGGCCAGCAATGGTCGTTCGTTCGGTGTCTGCCGACTGCTGATTGCCCGGATCGGACGTGTCAGCAACGCTGCTCTGCAATGTTCCGCACCTAGCTCCACAACACCGGTCCATCGCCTCGCGGGAAGTTCGACCTGCCTCGTTCAGCCTGAGACCGCTGGGCTCGACTGAGGCGCGGGAGTCGCGATTGTGCTTGGCCGGATCAGAGCTGTTCGGCGGTCCACGCGGACACTGTGGGCTGAGCGCTTCAATGTCCGACTCAGCCTTTTGGCACAGCAGCGCGTTGTTCCCGGGTTGAGCTCAGTGCAGAATGCAGGTCGTGGATCACGGCAGCATGCGTGCACTGCCAACAGACACTGAGTGCAGCTCCAGTGCAGTGCAGTGCAGTGCAGTGCAGCACAGCACATAGCCTAGCACAGCATGAAAATGACCGCTCGCGTAGGGAGGCAGAGCTGAACTGCCTGGCGCACTCCTCCACGCCGAAGACGCCAGACGACGAGCAGCGGCCGTCGCGTGCACGACGTAGCGATTGCGCTCAGCACAGCACTTGAAGCTGTCCACGAGGAAATTTAGCATCCGCGAAGCGAAACGCGACTCCCCTGGTTAATCGCCTGTCAACGACGGGCCACTGCATCTATCCGTCACCCCTGTCGTCGGTGGAGAGGGCCGCTGCGGAAACAGCAGATCAGAACAGATGCAAACGCCAATGGCACTCATCTCGGCCGCGATGCCGAATAGCCAGCAGAGACGTCCCTTGTATGCGAGGACGATCGCCAGCGGCGATGACAGCTGTTGTGCTGCAGACGCAGGTACTGATGTACGCGTATCTTGGCGTGAGCCTCAGGCTGCTCCCACTTTGCCGAGGTCCATCGCCAGGGAGATTCTAGAGAGAGCAGCTGTTCTGCGGCCTGCCATCAGCTTTCATCGACCACGAGCACCTCAAGACTTGTCGAGAAACCACAGTCGTACAGAAGTATCGGCGGGATCAGCAATTTCTCCATCCTGCCAATGACAGGCCGAAGAATTCACGACACTGAAGAAGCCCTGCAGTACGCGCCCACCGGTAGCCGCTGGCCAAGCACTGACCTCACCTTCTGAACCATTGTACCACAGCACTCCATCTCTCGTGCTCGAGGACGCTTCATTTGGCCCAGCAGGAGGCCACACGCGTCGACATCCTGTTGCCAAGAGGCCTTCATGCTTTTGCACACCCAAACGCAGGCCTAGATAACGCATGGAAAGTCTCACTGGATCTGTGCTGTGAAAATGGGCCCGGCCTGCATTCGGATATAACAGCCGCTATGTATGCAATGGAGACTTCTGCAGGCTCAATTTAGAACTTCAGAGGTAGCCGTAGCCGCCGGTGCTCGATCTTCGCGCCGGGCACCACTTACGATGGCCGCCTTGCGCTAGACATTCCCAAGATAACTCGAAACAGGCGCGAAGCTCTCACGAGCGGGTTGGCATTCGGCCATGACGTCTCAAATTTGGGCAACGTGCATCGATGGACCATTCGAGGAGCGCAATGCACAGGAAACGACCAGAGACTGCAAAGGCGCCTGCACCACATGGCATGTTAGCAGTTTCAGCCTCGCCTGCCTCAATTGCTTGCAGAAACGATACCGCGATCCCAGACGTCAAGCAATCAACGACATGTTTCAAAAGTCGTCTGCTTGGATCTCATAGGTTGCCGTTCGGCACAGCGCGACCCAGGTGGTTGCTATAAAGTGACCATGTCGCCACCTTGAGTGCGAACGGCTCCACTTCAACAAACACTACATCTGCAAAACTTCCACTTTCTTGTACTTGTTTTTGGTTTCCTATTTCTTTGCGTATTTCCTTTGTAACTTGTTCGGTCTGGTACTGGCGTTACATACAACCACTAATCCCTAATCCTTCGGAAGCTCCTCTTGTTGAGTGCTGGACGCGGAAGCTACGACATCGACCTCAACTGCCATACATGCCACACTTCAAAGTCCTTCCAATCATGCCCAAGGAAAGCAGGAATCGGTCGGCAAGTCAGACGGCCCTGGCGGCACCATATACAGCTGCTTCAGCCTCCGGATCTCGGAATGCAGCGATTTGGAGTTCTGCCGATGACGAAGTTCTTCTCCAAGCCAGAGCTTCTGGCCTTAACTGGCAGCCAATTGCCGCTCGACACTTTCCGAACAAGACGGCAAACGCCTGCCGCAAGCGGCATGAGCGATTGATCGAACGACGCCATGTCGATGACTGGGACACTCACAAGCTCGAACTTCTTGCCCAGGAGTACATGGCGTGCAGGAAGGAGATGTGGGACATATTAGCATCAAGACTCGGCGAGCGTTGGGCCATAGTAGAAGCGAAGGTAAGCCAGCTGTCTTCATGCTTCATGATTGACATGCTGACAAGTGGCACAGTGCATGGAAAAGGGACTCAAGACTCTGCAGTCTGCCGCCAGAACCGCCCATAGGAAGGCTGTTGCAGACGAGCAGCCGATGGAAGATCATGGAGGTATTATTTCAGACCACAACAGCGACTCAGGGATTGGATTTGGTTCGGAGGCTGAGATAGAGGTAGGAGAGGCAGTGCCATCAGGCAAAGCATCGGCGTCTTGGCATGGTCATTCTCCTCAGCAGACGTATCAAGAGCATGTTCGCTCGAGGAGTCTTCCACACCCACTGCCGTTGTACCAGCCGCCGCCACCAATCCGACGTACATTTGAGGGAGCACCAGTCGTCACATCGCCTCAAGATGGAGCTTTCCGGGGACGGTCGCAATCCCAGCGCTGCTCACCAGAGTCGCAGAATGGCCGCGGTGGAATCAGCATTGAATCAGTGCTTTCGAATTGAACGTTGGTCGGAGGCGAGGATCGCCCTCTCTGGGGCCAAGAGTGATGTGATATCCAGCATGTTGCTCGGCAGTGTGCACATTACGATGACTACGATGACGAGGAGAGTAATGATTGAACGGCTGTTTTGCTTTTATTTGTAGACAGGAGATGTCTGGTGATGGAAGAAAGCCACGTGTTGGGGCCAGCTGTGGCAAGAAGGCCTACAAGGGGATCTGAGCCACCTCCTGGCTTCGAGGGCCCGTACAGCATGGATAGACAGACGAATAGTGCTCGAGAAAACATTTCATCTCAGTAGTAGAGGCGCAATGGCAGTCGTAAGCTTTTACTGTATTTGGACTTGGCGCAGCCTCGGCCTCGGCTCAAGTGGACTAGACGGGAATCAGGCAAATGCGAGAGCGCTCCCTCTCGAACTCCGTCCTCCCCAGGCCTAGCAGACTGAGCCGCAGTGCGTGTTATCATCCGTTAGTTCTACTGGGGTGGGCTGGCAACCGCCTGTCTTTCCTGCCTCTGTTCGAGCCTCAGCGCGCCTGTGCCTGCCTGCCTGCCTGCCTGCCTGCCTGCCTGCCTGCCTGCCTGCCTGCCTGCCTGGCCTGCCTGCGCCTGCGCCTGCGCCTGCAAATACTGGACGCTGGCTCACTGGCACTGGCACTGGCACTGGCACTGGCACCCCTGACAACAGAAAGGAGAAAAGGAGATTGTGAACTTATTTCATTGATGCCCCTCCCGGCTCTGAACGCATGGCGTTTGATACATAGCCCCTTGCGATGTAAAACCTCCCCGACAGCAGTAGTACGTATAGCGACAGCTCCTCCCGCAGCCACGAGCGCGCACGCCGCAGCCATAGAGACACTCTCTCCCATCGCCGCCGGTCTATCCACCGCTCGAGTTCGAATCCGCACCCACGTCCAACGCCGCATCCTGCTTACCCTCGCTCCTGCTGCCCGACCTGTGCACCGTCTGCGCTCGCCGCATCAGTGGGCCCATATAGTCCACCACTCTCGCCAACCTGTGGCCGTAACTGCAACTTTGCCCAGAACCATTATGTCTACCCAGACCACGCAGAAGAGGACGCACGCGGGGCATTCGCATGGACATGGACATCACCACCATCATGCTGACAATGCCTATCTTACGAGCACAAACAAGAATGACCCGGGCGTACGAATCACTCGCGTGGGGCTTTATGTCAATCTTGGAATGGCCATTGCCAAAGGTGCTGGTGGATACGTTTTCAACTCCAAGGCGTGAGTCTCAACAACTACCCTGCACCATGTCAAAGTGACAAGTGTCCGTATGCTGCGACTTCGAGCAGAGCACTGTAGCACTCGGAGTATTCTAAGACTCGAGCTGACTGTATACTACAGCTTGACAGCTGATGCTGTACATTCCTTGACCGATCTCATTTCAGACATCACCACTCTCGCTACCATCTCGTGGTCTCTCAAGCCAGCAACATCCAAATACCCCATGGGATACGGGAAAATCGAGTCCTTGGGTGCTCTTGCCGTCTCCTGTATCTTATTAGGCGGAGGCATTGGAATTGGCCTGCAAGCTGTTTTGGCACTGAGCCAGCAGTTCTTTCCCCAAATTCATGAGGTCCTTTCGCATCTCGGATTCCTGGCCCATTCCCACTCGCATGACCACGATCATGGGCATGGTCACATCGACGTAGGACCAAACATCAATGCAGCATGGCTAGCTGCAGCATCGATCGTGATCAAGGAGTGGCTGTATCGAGCGACCATGAAAATTGCCGAGGAGAAACGCAGCAGTGTGCTTTCGAGTAATGCAAGTACTTTGAAAGCGCTTTGACCCAGGATCTTGCTGACATGCGCCAGGCATACCATCATCGCGTAGACAGTCTTACTGCTTTCGTAGCTTTGTTCACCATCGTTGCAAGCAACTTCATGGAAGGTGCACGATGGCTGGATCCAGTCGGCGGCCTCATAATCAGCGGTATGATAGTCCAAGCTGGCTGGGGTAATACCATGTCTGCGCTTTACGAGCTTGCAGACAAGGGCATGGATGAAGAGCTTAGAGAGAAGGCAGAGACCACTGCTGTTGCTGCTCTCGAGAGCTATAAGCTTGTTCAGATTCGTGGAGTACAGGGCATCAAGTCCGGCCAGAACCTCATGTTCGAGATCGAGATTGGTGTACCCAAGGACTGGACCGTCGCACATACTCAAGATGTGGAACAATTGGTACGAGATGCCATTGCAAACAAGGTCCGAGGTACCAAGCGCGTTACGATGAGATTTACGACAAGTCAGAACGCCGCCTTCTCGGATGAATTTGTGACGCGCGATAACGACACGAACATCGAGGAGGATCACGATCACGACCATGATGACGCGCATGCAAATGGACATTCCCAGGAGCACGCCAATGGCGCAACGAAGAAGAGAAAGTGAGCTCCGAAGGGTTCTGCTTCGTTCGTGATGAGAAGTGCTAGACGCCGGGCCGTAAATACACATCCTTTGGAGCACACGCCAGTGCATGGTTGACGAGGCTGTGAATAGCGATAGCATTTGCCATCTGGCCTCGGATTCCGGGTCGAAATTCTAGCTAAGGTCTTGGTGGCTTGGTTGAAAAGCTCAATTGGATGGTCAAGCTTCGTCTGTCGGACAGGATATATAGTTCCTCAAACAACCGCTTCTCCGGTACAACGTAGACGACTCGCTTTACGCTGGCGACCCTCTCCGAGGGGGGTGCTGCTCGGCATGCCGAAGATAGCGGCATCCCTGATCAGGGGATTCAACTTCTCGGTCGATGGAGGTCAAACGCCTTCAAATTGCACTCTAGGAAACATCCGGCGGCAACCTTCCGCCTCAACAGACGCTTGCAGACTGGAGTCGCTCAGTGGCTGTGTTCAATGGATCAATTCGAGTTGGCTTTGCGACTGTCCAGCAAACGGTGCTGGTAAATAGCGCTCAATCGACTGAACTTGGGACAAGGTGTGTGCAGCTGCTTCTGCGCGAAATAGAAGGATGGAGTGGATGCCTTTCAGCCGTCAATGCTGCAGCACAGTGCGCGGGCCGAGACGTGCAAGCGGCGGCGGCCCTGCGATTCTGCGAAGGCTCACGCTATGGCCGATGCTCATAAGGAAAAGCTCATCAGTGCGATGCGCTCTTCATGGAGGACTGTACAGCATTGGAGGCAACACACATTCATTTCTCGCACATATTGAGAAGGGACATGGAAGATTTAGAGCAGCCCCCCAAAATCACAAGAGTTCTGCTCGTGGGCCCGACCTGAATTACTACAAGCGGATCCTTGACATTGATGATGTGCCGAAAGTCAGACTTTATTTCCGAGCGTCTCCTCACCTCTATTCTACTGTTCCACGCCGTGCTTGCTTTGACTTGCGCACATGACTTATTATCGCAACCACCTTGAAAATTGAACTCTGCAGAGAACATCTTCGCATTTCACACCAACACAATGAGTCAATACACAGCTTCCGTGCCCAGCGATGGCGCCGTAAAGCCCGAAATCAGAGCCTTCTTCGAGAAATTCTATGCCGTCTCAGACACCCCAGGTGGCCACGAGCAATATGCCGATATGTTCACTGGTGATGGCACACTGATCATGGGGCCCAACAAGACGCAAGGTCGTGACAGTAAGCTACCTACATAGTCCCTTTTCCGAGCTTCCAATTCTGACTTGTGACATCAGACATCATCAAGATGCGCGAGGGCATGTGGGTAAAGGTGGCGAAGCGATCGCACCAGCCTAAGCAATTGTATCCTTTTGGGTCGGGTTCCAACGATATTATGCTGTTTGGGACTGTTGATTATACCTTGAGGGAGGGGGGAAGTACGAGCCTTGATTGGGCAGCGAGAGCGCGTTTTGTTGAGCATCAGGGAGGACTGAAGCTGGACCATTATCAGGTTTATCTTGTGAGTTTGATCTTGGCGGCTGAGATGGGACGACGATGCATGCATGGACTGCAATGCTAATCTTGATGTTCTTAGGATACTGCGAGCATGACGCCGAAGAATTAGGATCTGTCGTTTATATTTTCTTTGAACTGGTGACGGCACGACAAATTCGAAAATCTTTTCCTGGGGTATTGGAGCTGGATTGCACCTTGTTAGGAGGAGCAATTAGTCTTGTGAAACGGCTTGCGCATGTTTCCTTTGCAATATTTCAGAGCCTCCGTGACTTCAACAAGAATCGAGCCATTGACCTGAAATTCATGACTTGTGCTGACTTCGAGGAATCAGCGGAAGAGATAGACTCCAGCGCTTTTCGGATATAAGAGAATGGATGTCCCCATTGCCCAGCCTGATATCCGGCTCATCCGTGTCTTGGAAAGTGTTAGAGAGGCTTGTGTGCAATGATGTTCTTGCCTCGTCCAGCGCACCGGCAAAATCAGTGCAGTCAGATGAGGTGGCTGGCTTGACAATGGTGATGAACTGCAACAATCCTTCTCGCTAGACCAGACCCGAGTGGCGGAGTTGGCTCCGGTCACGCTGACGGCCGAGCGCCTACGTGTGGTCTTGACAGCTCGGGAATGGCCAAGGATGTATGCGGCCAACCTGTTTCCGCCCTCGTAGAGCTTTCCTTAGCGAACCTCGTCGGCGGTGGCTCCAAGCCATTTCAGAAAGTCGATAGTGCATGCGGAAGCTATGCTGAATCCCAGAGCGTCTTGCAGCTGGCTGACTCGAAAAACTTGCTCGTATCATGCGCTCACGCCGTCCAGCTCAGCCGAGAAGCTTCTTGGAGGCGTCTGACACGGTATGATCTTTCTGCGATGTAAGCGCAATATATCGTTTGTGAGGATGAGGTGAGGTGAGTTCACAATGCGAGGCTCTTCACGCCACATCGTTCTGCTGCAAACGCCACACACACGAGGCCATATCATGCCACACCACGCCGAAAGCGTCAAGTCCATCAAGATGCATGTCGATCGTTGTGGCATCGAAGCTAAAAGCGAGCGTGTGCAAGCCATGGATCCCTGTCTTATCTCTATTCGTCGCGCGTCACGGTCACACGTAGGGGTGCCAGGTTGTTAATTGTCAGCAACGTTACTAACGTTGCTAACCATGTTAATAACGTTGCTCTTATCCACTAAGTTGTTAGTAATATAAGGCTAACTAGGGCTAACCAGAGGTAGAAGGTAATACTATATTAAAGGCAATATAGCTATAGAATAAGACTACTTCTTACTATAGATTGAGACTACTATATAGACCACTTCTTGCTGTAGATTAAGACTACTATATAGACCACTTCTTGCTATAGAATAGACCACTTCTTAAGCTTAATAATACGGCCGTTGTTAGAGCGCTTATTATCTAAGCGCTTCCGTACTAGCATAGTTACTATATGTCTCTAGCTATTACTAGCCGTTGTTAGTATTGTTGTCTTATAAGAGCGACTAACTAAATAGCGTATAGCTAACTAGAGGGTCGTGTTTAGTAGAAGCCTAGCTATTAACTAGCTTAAAGAATAGTAAGTACTATAGTAGTTAACTACTCGTTATCGCCTCGAAGAGCGCTTTATAATTAATAGGCTCGTCTTCGAAGTCGTTATCTTCTTAGTAGTAAGATAGACTATATAGATTAAATAGCTATTTAAGGTTAGGTATATAGAGATAGCGAGGGTCGCTTAGTAGCAAGCAGTAGTTATTTATTATAGCTTCTTCGAAGGCAAGCAATGCGTCTAATTCTGCCTTCCTAATCTCTTTCTTAGTTGCTAACTGTCGCTGCTATATCTCTCGTAACTTAGCTTATCGTTGCCGTCTTACTACCTCTTCTACTAATCGCCTACGCAAGGCGCGGCTATTTATATAGATATAGATGCAGTCGTCGGTGCGCGTAGCGGACAGCTTCGAGCGATAGTCGTTCTATATAAAATTTATAGCGCTAAAGGCTCGCTCGGAAGGTACTAAGTTAGCAGGTATTCTATATAGGCGGAGAGCGACTTCCGCTATAAGAGGCGCTTTACGAGTAAGGAAGTCCTAATAAGCAGTAATATTGCCGCGCTCTCGGTACCGACTAAGCTCGTAGTAGTTACTAATAGCGAAGAAGCGTTGCGTAGAGTCTCGGAATTCGATAAATTCGTCGTTAAATCGTAGATAGCGCTCGAATATAGAAGGATCGTAGTCTTCGTAGGCAAAATAGCGCTTAAAGAAGGTAATGCGGCATTCTTCTTCGCGGTTACTAAATTCTCGAGAAACTAATAGATTATTAATATATAACGAGTACGCTACCTAGTAGACGGGTTGTATTTACTTAATAAACCGGAGGTCGAAGAGCGATAATAGGTCCTTCTAGTAAGGCAGGCGCGCCTACTTAATTAAGCGACGCAGTTGCCGCTAGCGAGGCACTATATCGCTAACCTTAGAGGTATCGCTCTCACTAACTAGCCGTACTTCGTTAATTAGCTAAAGGAGTGTATAAAGGCTCTATAGGCGGCTCTAGAATAGAGGCGAGTTAATAGTCTTAAGAGCAGCAGAGGCGCCCTTTACGAGGCGACTATTCGAGCCTCGGAATAGCCTATAAGCTATAACCCTCGAGTAGTCTTAAAGGGTTGTTATTACTACAAATAGGCTATATATTGCAGTATAGTATAACCCCTAGCGAGTAAGACAGGCGATAGCAAATGCCCTTAAAATAGCCTCGTTATCCTTAGTAAAGGCCTTTAGGATATTCTAAGCCTTCTTCGACCTCTTAAATAAGGTAAGTATATATAAAGCCTCTCGGAGCGTATCGCTATAGAACGGCAGGTACGAGTCCTTCTAATAGTTACCCTAGTCGCTAATATATAGCTATATACTATACGAGTCGTAGAAGACGCAAATTATATACTTAGTAAGTAGATTCTCGGCGAGTCGGTCCTAGAGTAATCTTATTGTCGCGCAGGTATCGGTTTGTAGGCTATTCTATCGTTTAAGGTTACTATTAACAAAGGGCGCTATCTACTTAGTTACCTACTACGCGAGGGTAATAGCGTTAGCGTTAGAGTCCTTTATATCTAGTAGGTTATAGAAGAACGAGCTAGACACTATATTAGCTAATAGGTTATAGAAACGAGTACTACCGCGGCTCTCACTCTTATTAGCGCTAAAGTTAAGGTCTCGAAGCGTATTAAATACCGCCTTAACGTCCTTCTCGACCTCCGCTCGTACCGTATCGATACAATCTACTACCTTATCGCGACTTAGAGGGTTATAATTGGTGTCGAAGGTATAGAAGGCCTCGCGCTATTTAGGATAGAATCTCGCGTCTACGAGATTAAATAGCCTTCCGCTATACAATATCGCCCTCGTAATAGCTAAATTACGCACCTTCTTAGACTTAGCGATACTAAATAGCAGCGTACGTTGCTTGCGCGGCGGCGCCTCTTTATCGTTAGAATAGTAAGCCCTCTTATAGTCTAAATACTTCTAATATTTCGCTAGGTGTGCCTTCTTCTATAATAGGCTTCCCTCTACTATCGTTCCTTTCCCGCTATCGTACTAGATACACCTTACAAATTTGCCTATATTAGCGGTGTCGACTTAGGAGAAGTTGAGGTTAACTAGGTCCTTTAAACGAGGTATTTTAAAAAAGTCGGAATTATAAGATTCGTAGAATTGCTAGAAATACGAAAATCGGAGGATTAGGTAGTCGAAATAGGTAGAAAAATAGCAGGCAATTCTCTCTTAACAATACCTCTCGAACTATCTAGTTTTAGGCTATTCGGACAACATTAGTAAACCTACTATTCTACTAACCCTAGTAGTATAGTTGCTAGGTAACCCTCTACTAAGCAGTCGCCTAAGCAACTACTACTCGGAAGAGCTATATAAGCAATCTCTATACTAATCTACACCAAATTGAGCTTAGCTAAGTCGGAAGAGACGGATCTATAAAGAATATTAGTACCGAGATAGTTACGAAGGCACTATACTATTGTTACAGGCTTAGTCTATTCTATATTATAAAGAGGTGAGGTCCATATAGACACCTAAGGCATGAATATTGATACTAACCGGTTATTAACGTTGTTTTGTTACTAACGTTGCTCTCTACCGACAAGTGGTTACTAACAGCACCCCTAGTCACACGGATGCACCTCATCTCTCTTCCAAGTATTGCACCTTCACGGCCCACACCAACACGCAGGCGAAATAGGTGAGGGCGATGGCGCGCGGACACATATCGGCGGAGCGGTAATCGGCTGTCATCTCCTGCAGCCGTGGCGGGATCATGATCATGCTTGACGCAAACACGGCGGTCAAACGTGAAAATGCCACAGGAATGGGCAGGGGTGCACGTCACAGTGATGGTGCAGCGAAGGATCCTTGCTTGCAGTTGACGCTGCTCTGCTCTGCTGGAGGACACTGCGCTGCGCTGCGCTGCGCTGCTGCTTCTTTCCCTGACAACAAAACCGTCCCGTCCAGCTCGTCCCTCCTCCGTTCGTCTTCTTTGCTGCATACATCGACTCATCAACACAGAATCATAACGCGCAGTGCTCTACCCATCAGCCTCCCAGAGCTGCATCGACTCGACATACACGTACCAGTCATATCAAACACGCGGAATCGCAAATAAGCACAATGGGTGCCGTCGCCTCTTGCGTAAGACATCCTCTCAGACCGCTTGGTCGACACTTCTTCTAACGCGCCGCACAGTTCAACAGCGTTGTGAACGCCATCACCAGCTGTTTCATGGCCGTTGTTAACGCCGTAAGTCCTTCACATAGTCGCAAGATTGCGCCGGCATGTTGTCTAACCCATGCTCTCGCAGATCGTTGCTGTGATCAAAGCAATCGCCAACGCCATCGTCAGTGTCTTCTGGGCCATCGCGAGCTGCCTGACCTGCGGCAAAGCTGGCAAGCGTCGCAGGGTGGGAAGAAGTGCGGTCTAGGACTCTTCATCACAAGCTCCGCATGCTCACGCATTGTCGACACTGCCTGCTCGCGACGACTACACCAAGCTTCCCGAGCCTGTCATCAGCGTGCCGTACGATGATGTCAAATGAGTGGCATTTCTGGAGTCTTGTGCTGGATCTGGACGGTACGTTTCTACTGCATCTCTGGCATCTCAACACCGAAGCCATGCGCATTGGAGCTGAGGAGGAAGGCATGTTTGTTGCGACGCCATTGATTACCATTGCATGATACCACTTGTTTTGTGCCTTTAGGATGATGATTGAGGCGAGGAATAGCAGACTGCACCCAGCATTGACATGCGAAGGAAAGAGTTATGAATAGTGATACCCAGCAGTCGACTTTATGCAGGACGAATATTGTAATCAACGTGCTTGGATCGCCCGGTTTGCTTTCTCTAATCATTTCTCACCTTCTGTTCGGAATGCAAGGGCTGTCTGCGCATTCCTCCTGATGCTGCAACAAGGCGGATTGGATAGGGGATAATTACAGGAGGACAGTGACACGAACTGAGCAAGACATTGCGTGCGGCGAGAAGATTGCGCCCATTCGCTCCGTAAGCGCCATTATCGTAAATTCAAGACCAATGCTGTTCAACAGGGTAGTCGGGGGTATGTGGACAAGGTGGTGGTGATGAAGCTCTTTCTTCCCTCCCGCTATCAGCAGCCTCGCGAGTGCTCTGCTGCGCATCCGCCTTTCCATGCTCCAGGTTCATGTCCATTCGCGGTCTTCGAGAATTCTCGCGTCGTGATGAGGTCAGGGTCTCGTGTCGCGTTCTAGTGCTTGCTGCCGTAGATAGCTGTTACTATTGTTAGCACAAGGTCCAGCTTCGCAAGCACGCAGATTCAAGGGTATAGCTCACCAGAGGGCACTATGATGACTACAAGCAGGATGATGATACCGATGATGATACACATGCGCATCTTCATATCCTTCCACCACATCTGCTTTCGCACCCGGTTGGCGCCGCGGCGGAAACTGTTGGCTTGCGTTGAGAGGTGGTCGGTCTTGTCCTGGAGGTTGTCTAGGCGCTCGCCACGTTCGGAGATTTTGTGAATGTTGTTCTGCATGGTGTGTACTGCGCTGTCGATTTCCTGTCCTCGTCGTCAGTGCCATTGTCGCTGCTGCCTTCCGCCACAAACTCCGAAAACGCAAATGCGCCAAAGTCTGGGTCTGGTCACTCGTGGAGACTCACTCGCTGCAGTCCTTGTGTGCGCGTGTTTCCGACATCGCCCTCTGCGCCGCGCTTGACATAGGGGTCGTAGAGACCGTCATTGTTGCTGCTCGCCATGCTGCTGACTGTCTGACCGGGTGGACGCTCAGGAGTTCGATTGAGGTGTCGATACGGTGCAAATAGCGGTAGGTCCTGCGCGCGGGTTTGCGGAAGTGCTGGCGGAGGTTATGCGACGGTTTGAAGATGGGCGTGTGAGTTGTGGTGTGGTGTGATGAAGGTGAAAGAGGATGCCGCAGTTTAACAGGGTCGTCGCCAAGCAACGCTGCGGCTATGGGCTGGAGGCGGGTGACGTTGGCTGGCTCTGCTCTGCTATTGCTTGGCCGACAATGTTGCCACGCCGAGTGGCAGGGGCAGGGCAGGCAGAACGGTAATAATCAGTGGCTATTCCGAGCTGTTGTTTGGCAGAGGGAGTATGGACAATAAATGGAAGATTCATGTTTGCTTTTCTACATAATATGCCGCCCTTGACCACAGATCACAACCGTGAATAGAGACACGGCATTCCGAGAGAGAACAAAGACATTCAAGACACCGTGGACCTTGGACTGTGGACTCTGTGAGCATATCAGACACTGTTGCAGGGCCATCAACGCATACTCGCGCAGACCATTCGCATAGGATGTTATGCTTAAAATGCCCAAGTCAATTGTGAAATCCCGGCGCTGCTAGGCTGTCTCTACCTCCTCTCAGGCGCTCCGAGTATTGTAGATTCTTCTACGTGATTCTGTATCCTTAGGCATCGACACTAACTATATTGGGTATAGAGAAAGCTATAGCGGAGCGCCTAAAGTCAAACCGTTCCTCCTCTATATAAGTCCCCGAATACGAAAGTAGTTACAAATCTATATAGCCTAATAACTACGCAAAATAGTAAAAAGTTGTTAGTAGTATAGTTATACGTTATAAAATGATCTCTTAGATTGTCTATATAAAGTAGTCGCGAAAACGTTAATTAAGAGATTAATTTTTAGTTTTCTAAGACGACTTGCCTAAATACTCTATTTGTATCTACCTACTATATATTACTTACCTATAAATAGTATATATAACGCTAAGCGAAGTACGTACGGCCCGTCGCATTAACTATCTCTCTAATCTCCGCGCTTTAGAATGCCTTAAAACTACTGCCCTTGTCTTAATATTGCTATCTAGGGCTAATAAGGCACCGTCTACCTTTAATACTAACGCGCTATTATATCGACCTCTCTAGTACTTACGCGCATACGTATATATATCTAGCCGCCTCGCGTGTATTTAAAGGTCGATCCTACTATCGCCGCCGCCGCCGCTGCTATATCTACTACCGATAATAATACTACTAAAATTAGGTAGTAGCGAGAAGTAGCGCCGCGTCTAGGCAAAGAAAGATAAGGTAGCTAAGACCGGATCTTAGAAGAAGAAGAAAGGCGACTAGCCTATCGGACCTAAACTACTAGGTCGTACTACTATTAGTCGAGAGTCGCTAGACTTTAGCTATCTACTACTAGTCGAGTAGCTAGCTAGAAAGAGTAACTATAAAGCCTAGTTCTAGTAGCGCTACGATAAGATCTTTAATACTAATATATTACTCGAGCAAGTATAGTAGTTAGTCTACGATGCGATACGTACCCTAGAAGCTATTAACGTATATCGCGATATTATTACCTAAGGACTGCGAAAGATTCTCGATAAGATATATCTAGGCAAGGGCTTTATACTAAAGGAATCCTAGATCTATAGTATCTAGGCTCTTGTATTTGCCTACTCTAATATAATAATAGTAGCTAAGACTAGCGAAGGCAAGAGTTTGCCTTTTTAGGCCTTTAGCCTATTATTAGGACTAAAGAGGTTATACGTAATTAGTATATAACCGGGCTCGAGTAAAGTTAGGGTCTTAATGCCTTAGGCAGGGCTTGGCGCTTAGCAATAGGCTAACTTGCCTACCTTCCTCCCTCTCCTCCTAGCTCCTTATCGAATACTACCTATACCTACTACTACCCTATCTACCTGCTAATATACCCTTCTTATATAGTATTCGATCTACCCTTTAAGGGTAGTAGCTAGATAGTCCTTATTTTAAGCTTTTAGCGGTATAGCTACGAACAAGACTAATCTAACTATATTGCGCCTAAAGAACGGGACCTATACGTACTATTCTATCGAAACAACCGTACTAATTATTAAGCAAGGCCTTCTACACGGCCTATTATACTAAGTTAATCGTACTAGACTAATATAATAGATATCTACTAATTCCGCTATATCCGCATTATAGGGGCTAATAATATAGCATTAGTATTACCCCCTATTATAATAGCCGGCTTATTACGAAGCAATAACAACCGTACTGCCGCTAGCAGCGCTAGCAATAACAACGCTAGTAGTATAGTGCCTACTACTAAAGTGCCTACTAAAGTACCTACTAAAGTGCCTCCTACCGAAGAGCCTACTATAGGACCTACTAAAGAAGAACCTGCAATTCTAGGTAACGACCTAGAATTGCCTATCGACGACATTCTTAATAATATTGTTAACCGTCGATATAGCTAGCTAGCCTTTAGTCCCTAACTAGTAGCGAGACTTTAAGAAGCTACCTAAAACAGGCTTACTGCCTTACGTTAAGAACAATAGCTAAAGGATAATCTTCTTAAGATTCGCTACCTCTAGGAATCTCTAACAACTACTGCTAAGCTAATAGTAGGACCTTCTTTACTACCTATCTAAAAGAAGGATACTAAACTTAAGGACTACACCGTATTTAATAGCTCTAGTCGGAAGCAGTATAACGACTACATTCGTAACTATAAACTTAACTAGCGCAACGCACTAAGAGCGCTACTAGACGACTATTCCTTAGTCGTATACGCTATATAGTATATTAATAGCGACCTAAAGCGTATATAGGATAACTATTTCGACTCCCTTAATAACTAGACTGCTATTTAGTAGCAAACCTACAAAACTATTATACTAGACACCCTTAGAAACCCTATACTAAGGCAATAACATACTTAGGACTAGTACCTTCGAGCTAAGCAAAAGACTAACTAATCGGCCCGCTTATTCGAGGCCTATTTAAAAACCCTTAAAGACGACCTTCCGCCTAAGACTAATTCTATATAGATCTCCGAGATACGCCTAAAACTTAGATAGGAGCTTATCCTCGAATTAGACCGTCGCCGCGTATTCGAACAAGCTAATCTAATACGCATTTAATTTATAGTCGAAGTAGAAACAGCCAAACGGGCTGTTTAGCTCTAATAGCGACTAGAATCGAGAATCCGACTAGCTAGTACTAACCGTAGTAACCGGGGTAGCTACGGAGGAAACTAAGGTTCCTACTAGGATAACAATGCTAATAATAGGAATAGTAACGATCGTAGAAGAGGCCGTAGCCGGCGGCTATATAGAGGAGGCCGCGATAGGGGCCGTAGAAGGGGCTCGTATCCCTATAATGCTAACCGCTCGGCTAACAATAGTAACAATAGCTACGGCAGTCTACTAACCGGATTGAAGTGCTTTAATTGTAACAGCACTAGCTATCTACTAGGCCAATGCGACAAACCTAAGGACTAGGCCCGAATTAATCGTGCTTCCGCTAAATACCGAAAGCACCTCTTAGCGGCTAACGCTATCCCTATAGGCTAACCTTCGAAAAAAGAGTAAGCGCCGCACTAACTGTTAGCCTCGTACGGCGTAAGACTATCGACATTGTGCTAGCTATAATACGCTCCTTCCTTATATAGGATACGAAGGGCACTACCTATTAAACTAAGGTTATACTAGATCTAGGAAATTCAGTTAGTGCCCTTATTAGCTATCGCCTAGCTAAGCAATTAGACCTTCGACAACTGCCGAAGACTAACCTGCTAACCCTTGCTTAGTTTAATAACGCTCGGCACTTAACCTATAGGGCCTACTATATTCCTATAGCTCTAAAGGACGACCTCGGAAATAAGCGCCTACTAGACTTTACTACCTACGCAGTAGACATAGACAGCCTCCTATCCGATATTGTTATTAGTAACCCTGTTCTTAAGTACTACGCTATAGCTATAGACCTAGGCCTCTAGAAGTAGCGATTTAGAATCGCTAGAAAAGAGGACATTAAATACATTAATGTTAGCGAGTGCCCTAACGATATTAGGGTCCTGTTTATTAGCAACCTAACACCTGCCTTAGCTAATCCGACTACCGACCTACTTAGTAGTAATAACGATGAACCTATACCCCCGGATAGCATAGACCCTAATTAGCTTGCTCGTATACTAGAGCCTATCCGAGAGACCTATATTAATGTATTTAAACACTACCTAGCGTCGACATTGCCTATATTTAAAGAGACGGATTATAAGATTAACATTATAGAGGGCAAGGAGGTTCCTTTTAGCCCCCTCTATAACCTTAGTAAACGAGAGCTTGCTATATTACGTAAGTATCTAGAGGAAAACCTAGCTAATAGCCGGATACGATATAGTAACAGCCCTACTAGTATACCTATCCTGTTCGTACTAAAGAAGGATAGTAGCCTACGTCTATATATTAATTACCGCGGGCTTAATACTATTACTATTAAAGACCGCTGTCTACTTCTGCTTATTAATAAGACCCTCGATCGCCTTTCTAGTACTTACTTCTATACTATACTAGACATTAAGGATACGTACTATCGTATCTGCATTCGTAAGGGCGACGAATAGAAAACGGCCTTTCGCACTCGCTATAGCTATTTCGAGTACTTAGTTATGCTATTTGGCTTAGCTAATGCCCCTATAACATTCTAGTCCTATATTAATCGGGCCCTTTCGGGCCTATTAGACTATCTCTGTATAGTTTACCTAGATAACATCCTAGTTTACATATATTTACCTAATATTATAGAACACTAGGCCGTAGTACGTAAGGTCCTCGACCGCCTACGAGCCTATAGACTATATTATAAACCTTCTAAATACACCTTTGCTACTAAGGAGGTATTATTCCTTAGCTTCCTCGTATTAACCGAGGGTGTTAAGGCTAATCCTAATCGGATTAAGACTATTACTAAATAGCCTGTTCCTACGTTAATTAAGGAACTATAGTCGTTCCTCGGTTTTGCTAACTTCTATCGCCGATTTATTAAGGGCTATTCGAGGTATGTAATGCTACTAACTAAGCTTACTAAAACTAAGGCTAACCCGTCTAGAGAATTCAAATAGACTAACAAGACATAAGCCGCTT